GGTACAAAAAAAAGTGCACAGGGTACATTCAAGTACTCAATGAGTACAATCCAAACCAACAAAAAAAAGTTAGATTTTTCAAACTTCGATGCCAACTTCACATAGCTCAAATACCGATAATTTTCTCACATCAAGAATGATTTTTTCTCTGTATTGGATGAAGCAAGAATTGGAGATAAAAATTTCTCACCCCTCCTCGTAATCCTCGTCGGAGTCCTGCTCGTGCTCAGTGGCTTTTGCCTCCTCCTCACTCATTTTTACCCTCTGAACAAGAGGTTGAATGTAAAATAAAAAACCAACAAATAGATTCACTCCACCATCCAACTGGTATTCGTGAAATTTCCACGGTAGACTGACAGAAAAATTCAATCTCCCCGGTGGACTATGGCTTCGGTGAAGCCAAATCATTCAACTATAACTTCCATTACTACGTGCCAATGCTATTTAGTACCTTAAATCCCAGTAAATGGGATTATCAATGAGTACAAGCACGTGATAGGGCGGCTCTTCTGAGTTTAAATCAAGGAGAAATAATTGTTTGGTAAACCGAGAACTAAATATTTGAGGTTTCGAGAAGCTTGATGCCAAGGGTAGGCATATTTTCCGTTTCATTCAACGAAATGCTCGTTGCATCATTATTTGCCGGAGTAATTGGCTTATCCGGTCGTTTATCTAGGCGTTAATCTTTCGGTTTCCAACGATATCCGAGATATCGAGAGTGGAAACGTCATTCAAGTACGAGTTTTCAAGCTTTTTTCGAAAAAAATCTTGCGCAATTTTTCCTCACAACTAATTCATGAGGAAATGACCAATCAAATACTGAGGAATTATTCAGGAAGAGGTGGAAAGCTCTCTGGAGTTAAACCAACATAAAACACTGAATATTAATTCACTGAATATATTTCTACTGACACGCTAACTTTTCATTTTCAAGCTGAGACTTTCTTTCATATTATATCCATCATTTGGGAGTGGAGCGGTGAAATGTTATTAACGAGCTCATTTTCTTGTGTATTTCGTGCTATAGTAGCACTATTCTTATGATGAATGGGCGAGATAGGTACGTTCTTTCGAAGGGGAGAAAATCATTTTGCGGAAATGCAGAGATTTACAGGTCACTCTTAATTTGATTCACGAGTTTCTGTTTGGACTTTAAGATATCCTCTGAGATACGGGAAAAATAGTACTAGACTCAGAAAATAACAGTTACTATTTTATTTTCACGCCATTGGACTACCCGATATATTGAATGAAACTGACAGAGCAAAATTCTCGATAAAAATTTAAACACCAAATATTCCAGTGCTAATGGTTTTCCCGAATTTCTGTTAAAAGCGCATCGATGTTTTCTTTTTATTTTGGAAAATAAAAAATTCCACTGAATTTTCAGTAAAAATTGGAATTTCGTGTATTTTCTGAGAATGTGCATTGTTATCAAAATTATCAACGCCTTCCAAATGCAACTGGGAATGAATAATACATGAAAGAAGAACTCCAAGCTTTTAAGGACAAATGTATCTAACATTCCTTTTATCAATAACCAATAAATTCGAAATGAAAAATTTAATAGACAATTTTATCTCAACCCGTCTGAACCCACTTCATGGAAAATAGAGTCTGAGCGGTTCCGGGTCTGATAAATTGCGGAAATATCTAACAGTCAACTGTAAATTTGATCGACGAACAGATTTTTGTGAAGTTTGCTTCCATCCTGAGTGTTCAAACATATGAGCAGCTCAAGTCCCAACAAATTACTCAACTCCCTCATGCATCAAAAAGCTCCAGCAGCTCTCGCCCAGTGAATTTTCCATACTTTTCCCCTGAAACACTCGTTTTTTCCCACCCCTAAACAAGATAAATTGCGCTACAAAGCTAGTTATCGCGAGAGATTGAACGCTTTCAAGAGTATCCTTGACGTTAAAACTCACGAGGGCATCACTGTGGAAACCATCAAGCGCATTACCTCAGTGAGATTACAAAAACGTGAACATGCAGGGTTGTCATGAAAATAAGGTTGAAAACTCGTGAAATATCGTGAGGACCGTGTGAATAGAATGGACAATGAGGGATGGGTATGACGGAAAAAAGAATAAAACCAGCAGATGGAACAAAGAAATGAGGATAAAGGTAAATAGGCCTCGAGAGTGGGAATACCGATGTCAGAATGACGCTTGTTTGTCCCATTCAATTCCAACTGCCCTAGAACTAGATGCACCCGGTGAAAGAAAATAGAGAATACGATTCGTGTGTGTCACACACATTCCAACTTTTAATATCCCGGCAAATTCATTTCTTCATTTCTCTCGTCCTTGACCGCTCGTCAATGATTCATTTGGCAATTACTATGACAATCGAACCAATTGACCTCGACAAACAGTGATTCGGGGAGTCAATCGAACGAGAACAATGCACAGTCCAATAATGAGATTGTCAATCAGTCGAGGACATTCGTTATTCCTATCAATTGTCCAGAAATTTCCCTCAAATTTTCTACAAATTAAAGGCCTTTTCATCAATTTTAACGTTCGAAATCAACTGCTCAATGAGACTGTCTATGAGAGGCTATAGCTATGTGCAATTTTCTTATGAAATATTTTTTTACATTGCATTGAATATAATTAGGAGAGATATCTTGTCTGAGACTTAAAAAAAGTGGAATTTTCTATTAAATCTCAGAGGAGGATGGAAAAAAACTTCTTTCATTCTCCAATAATATTCCCTAAATAAATCCTCGGTAGCCCTCACCTCTCACGTTCTCCAGAGCTCAGTAAAAATATTTTGACTTAATTTCCCGGAACAAGATCTTTAATTCGATTTGAGTGGAAAAAATGCATATGGTATATGGTATTTCCGGTCTTTAAGGGATGAATATTCAAATAAAAATTGAGATTCTGTGAAACTCTCTTGAGTTTTGTGCGAAAAAAAGAAATTCAGCTGACATTAACAAATATATTTCTACTATGATTATGAGTTAATCATTCCTGAAAAATTCAGGGGATTTTTGGATTCTACAATTTCTAAGTTTTCTCAATTTTCTATTGAATTCCACAAGAAAATCGAATTGAAAACACGATAAATCTCCGAAACGTTCACCAAGACTTAATTACAAAATCACGAATAAAAAAAAAAAGTGAAAAAAATAAAAAAGAAAAACCGTGAGTTAGCAACGAAACATTGAACGGTGAATTAAAGGTGGAAACTTAATCAAGCGTCAACCCGGAGTAGCCAAAGCACGTGTACGTCACGTTGACAATTGCTCGGCTGTCCCCACCCACGTCCTCGCACACACCGACACCCACATCCTCCACGAAAACCCCTCCACATGGGACATTCAAAGTCTCGTCACATTCCAAAAGCCGATGAAAAGATCATAAAATGTATCCGCGAGATGCAAACGTGAAAAAAAAACCCACAAACCTCATGGGTGTGATTTTCCTGGTGGGCAATTTGCCTAGTCAGCTCCTCATTCTTCCCTTCCTGGTGATGTCCTTGAGTCGGGAAGTGGCTGGCAATCTCCTGGGAGCCCTGGGCACTTCATCGTTGCGTCTTTGTTCTCCCGCCATTACCGCCATTTTATCACTCACGAAATGCCGCCCAAAAGGGACAACAAAACCGCCAAAAATTCACTCCACTTTCAATCACTGATACATTAATCATCTCACAAATTCACACGAGGAAAACTCAGGGGCACTCACGTGAATTTCGCACGAGGAGAACTCGGGACCACTCACGTGAATTAACACAAGAATTGGTAAACACTGAGCCGATAATCGTCAACAGGTTGACTACGACGCGAGGAACAACAGACTTCTTCGAATAACAAAAGCCACTCACCAATCCCTTTCCGCCCCGCCCCTCCCCGCAGCGCCCCCCTACTCGTTATTATTTTCATAACGTATTATTTTCGGCCAGAAGTCGCGTCGTCTCCGGGTAAATTTAGACTCTCGCGTGTGTCTGTATCATATCGTCAGTGAAAAATTAATGCATGGGGACAGAACGGACTCGTGGGGCCACTGGGAATGAGGACAGAGTGAGGAAGTCGAAGAGTACTTCAATTTTTACGTCTATCCCGCAACTCTTTCGGGGCTTGCCCCCCTCCTTCGAGGCTTTTTCCCTTGAGGCACTTGTCCAATGTATTATTTACGGTGAATATTAAATTCACCGGGTTGGACACCGACCGATACCTCCTGCTCTCCTCCGTCAACTCCATTTTATTATTTTCTTACTTCTCTTCGGGTTCTGAATTTTTGTGAAGTGAATCTTTGATGTTGTGAGTGTTCAGTGACTCTGGCAGTTATGGGATCAGCAAAGTCGAGGTGAATTCCAGTCTGCATTGTTGAAGAAGGCGTTTGGGTGCATTTTCGAAGGTAAGGGAACCATGAACCTTCATTTTTTTAATTTTTTGATGAGTCGCAAACCGGGGGGTCAATTTAATTGTAAATATTTTGGTGAAACTTCAGAGGTTTTCTCCCAAAATCAGAAAAATTCTTGAATGCCGATGAATTTATGATTTCGGCAAATTTACTGAAATTATCGTCCGATGTTTAATTGACGCAATCAATTTTCACATTCGGAGTATAATGGGAATGCTAGCGACAATCAACCCGAAAACAAAATTTTTTTCATTTTTTGGAGGGCACGTCCAAATGAATATTCAACGGGAAAATTCTCTGGATGGGTTGAAAAATATTCTGTATTGAATATTCCAATAGAATCGATCGACAGTAAATAATACGTTCACTAGAAGTCCATCAGAATTGCCTCACGAATTCCCAATGTTTTTGCACCAAATGTTTTCATACGAATGAGTCATTCTGTGAATGATTGGATATCAAATTGAGTTCATATCGACGATCATAAAGCCCCGTGGTACCTCTCACTTGAATTTCAAAAAAATCCGACAATTGTAGTGAAAATACTTTCGGACGGGACGTGACATTTGATTTAGATGGAGAATAAATTCACTGACTGCCAAGCACGTACGATAAATCGTTTTATTTTAATAACGTGTAATGTGTAGTGTGTTTTATGAACATAATTATAGTAAAAGAGATAGTTATAATTAGCAGAGAGGGAGATGATTTAATCAAAGGGATAATCCATGAGTTGGTACTTTCGAGTTTATCTGCTCTGATGATAATAAATAAATAACTTCTACTTTTGTCAATAATTGAGGTTTTTCATCGTTGGCAAACAGCCAGAGAAAATATCTCGTGACGCTCAATGGTTCGCCTAATGATTGGTAAATGATCCGCGATGATTCTGGTGTAATGTTGCTTCTCCAATGGGTCTGGATTATTCCTCCTCCTCTTCCTCTTCTTCCTCCTCCTCCTCTTCTTCCTCTTCTTCCTCCTTATGAAGAAGACAATTCATCATATATTTCACGAAATTTCATCTTGCAATTCTCTTTATATTATTTCTAACGAGAGCACTCACCTCCTCCTCCTCCTCTTCCTCCTCCTCCTCCTCCTCTTCCTCCTCAGCCTCCTCCTCTTCTTCTTCGAGAGCTGGCTCTAGGTCGTCATCGGCGGCTGCTTTCACATCTTCCTCACCTTCCGGTGATTCGGGGTCGTCCTTCTTCTTTCCTGGCCTCTCGCCGAACCACTTGGGCAACTTCGCTATAAATTTTCATGAATATTAATTTCGGGCAAGTTAATTGTCAAGTGGATTGAAGAGACCAGAATTCATTACTTTGTACATCTTTATCATCTCCATTTCCGTTATTCAATTTAATCCCTTAAAGAACAAGAGAAATTCAGTGGTAAATTAATAAAGCGAGATAAACTGAATTTTGCACAAGTATCAGTTAATCTCGATAAATATTGATTTTAGGATGAAATATGAAAAGAATTTTTTTGTCGGAAACTTCATCAGCTACAAAAAATTCTTCTACTATTTTTTGCTGAAATTAATAATTCACGATATTTAATTCAATCTACAGATAAAAAAAAATTATTTCTCTGCGTGCGATTAACAAAAATATTGGCATCATTGACCAAAATGAATGACTAATCCCTTCATTCCACCTTTTGAAAATCACTTAGAACTTTCACTAGATATTAAACTCTTAGAGCATGCAGGTATTAAATCTAACATAGATTATTAACGAAAAATTGAATCAATAATTAGACGAGATGGGAATGTTAAATGACTCTTTTTTTTGTCGAAGAGTACGTACTCTTCTGGCGACCGCTAAATTGCTGGTTTTGTTCGGCCCACTGCTTCTCCATTGTCTCCTTCAGTTGGTCAGTCAGGCCCTGGAATCAAGGACAAGGTTTCCATGCGAGGAACAAAAAGAAAATCAACAACAAATTACAACCACAAGCTACATCTGTCCTGGTACTTCTCAGAGGGTTCGGGGGGGTTTGGGAAATTGTTTTAATTTCATTGAAAAAATAAATTACGGGGTCAGGCACATGCCAGTGCTAGTCAGTCAAGTTGCTAGGATCTTCAGGGTCTCGTGGGAGACATTCTACACTCATCGAAGTCATTTTCAATGTCAAGGGATCATTATCAGACGTCATGGGGTCACTTGAGTGGTCTCATTGTTTTAAACCATCGAATGTTTGGTCTCATAATAAAAAATCACAAGGAACAAAGTTCATTTTTTTAGCGTGAGACGAGCAAATTGTGACACTGGAACTGGAACGATTTTTCGGCCCTCGACGACTCACTTTTAGTTCGCTTCATGAATTGCTCTGTTCTCTGTTTCCAAGTTTTCTCGTGGAGTTCAGCTAGAAGCGTGTCATAACCCTGCGATTTAATTTATCCTATTTACATCGAATCTCTTCAGCTTAGCATTTCTTTCAGTTTTTTTTTTTTGTGAACGGTGGATATTGTCTGTCATTGGTCAATTCATAATTCTGTGGCTTGTTCATTATTTCTGTGGGATATTTCGTGATGGTGGGTCTATTCGTGTCTTGGGATTCCATACTTACACCCTCGAATAACTTCTTCTTGTCGTCATAGGACCTGGTGTCTACACGACGCTCGTATTTAGAGGCGACTTGGATCTTAGGCTGGAATTAAAAATTTCCGGGAAAATTACATGAGATAAGAAAATTCGCAATTGAATTCTCGAATTTTTCGCTCCATCAAAATTAATTGTATTGGGATTGCAAGTGATTTGTGTCACTTGCATCAATTTCTTCTGCCTCCAATTTTTTATAAATAATAGGAAAAAATTTGAATAAAAGGTTCTCATTCAACCGTCAATTTATACTAATCCTATCTCCGATGAAATGCATCGTCGTCATAAAACCCATTGGACTTTGGATAAATTGACGGTATCATGAATGTATCAATGGAATAAATTTTATTCAACTCACTGGGTATTTTCCGGTGAGGGCTTCAGGATCGAGACCCTTCTTCAGGGCCTTGTGCCTGAGCTGCTGCTTCTGCCGTTCCTTCAATTCTTTCAACTATAAAAACCGGATAAATGAAAATTCAATCGATCAATAAGTCAACAAGATTGAAAGCACCTCTCAGTGGCTGTGATTACTCACGTCGTAGTCCTGACGTTTCTGACGCTCTTCGAGATCGTACTTCTCGGTTTCCAGCTTGACGATAGCGTCCCAGAGCTCCACTGCCTTTGAGCGGAGTCTCTCGATGGCGAGACCCTCGATTTCCAATGGCTTGATGCGAATGCTCAGGGATATTTTCTTCTCCTCCTCGAGTTGCTCTTTCGTCTTGTTACGCTCGATTTGTGCAGAGGAGAGGCTTCCCTTTAATTAAATATCACGGGATATTGGATAGGCTTTTGATTTTTATTTACAGTTCTTCAACTGAGTCACTCACTGAGAGATCTTTCTTGGTGATGGTGAAGTTAGGGCCCTTCTTACTCTGGTCCTTCAGTGCCTGCATCATTGCCTGACGCTTCTTCTCCGATTCCTCCAGGCGCCTTCTCTTCTCCTCAATATCACGCTGTTTCTTCTCCTCTGCAATTTTTTTCGCATTTATTTATCGGGAGATGTATAATTGCAATATTTTTATGAATTCAATGCATTTACATGCATTTTCTAATTTTTTTTTTCGTTTGCTCTTTAAATCATCAATTCTTGAATGCGAAGTTTCAAGATTTGAATATTTGAAACTCTTTCATTTCCCGGACTGTTCTGAAAGCTCTGCCATAGCCTTCACTGTGGACATATCTCATGAATCCAGTGAATTTTCTCTGAAAGAACAAATATTTGTTTTCTCACCAATCTCACGCTGACGACGCTCCTCCTCCTCCTTCTTCTTCTGGGCCAATTTTTTCTCCTCCTCAGCACGGCTCACCTTGCGCTTAGCCTGTTTTTCTTTGAGGCCTTTGAGCTCTTCTTCCTCCTTGGCCCTCTGCTGCCGCCACTCCATGATGTATTCTTTGAGCTGTTCATCGAGATCGCTTCTCTTCTGTTCTTGCCTCTGTAACATTCCAGATTGAAGATTAATCAACAAAATTCATTAACTCTAATGAGCTCTATAATTAATTAACTGAGCTATTATGAATACCTTCATGAATTCCGGATTCTCGGACGTCCTGGATGGTGACCGCCCCGTGGAAAATAAAATGGTGATTTTAGTGAGTGAACTCTAGTCGTCATTTCATAAAACGATCCATTGCCCAGCGACACTTATGAATTTCTTTATCGCCTCCATATCACTTACAAATATTTGCTCTTTAAAATTTCACACAGGCAAGAGTGACAGATTACTATGGGAAGACAGAATAAGGGATATGAGAGAGATGTGTCTGACATGAGGGTATAAAGCGAATATTTACAAAGGCAGAGGGACCACGGTAGCCATTTCATTATGAATGGCGAATTGTTGTTGGGCAAAACAAAAAGAAAATGTTGTTAACACCACGCCAAGTGGACACGAGTGTTAGCTCTCTGTCCTGCGACACTTTTTAATGATTTATGTCGTATTTTTTTTTTCACATAAATTCTTCTCAACGCGCCCAGCAAAAATACACTGAGTAAAATTATTCAGGACACTAAGAGTCAATATTACTATTACCAGATAAATTGACCGGTTACAAGTAAATATGATTGGTGGATGTCCTTGCAATTAGTAAATTCATTTGGCAAAAGTCTTTTTTTTTTCTCGGTGCAGCGAAAAAATAAATGATAACAAGTTGACTTGTTCCTCTTTTCAGTCTTCGCGATATATCTCCGAACCTAAGGGAAAGGCGGAAATTTTTCCGAGGACCTTTTTTGCACAGCAGAATAAAAGCTACAGAAAAAGTTTATATAAAAATTTGACTATCTCCCTCAGATTCAGAGATATCCCACGAAAACTTATTATGAAAATCGACTTGTTAGCCTTTACCTCTCGTTCCTGAATTAACAACTGAAATGATAAACGGACAAAATAAAAAGATTTATTCTGCATTATTTGAAGCTTTGAAGATCAGATAAGTGAGTCACTGTTGGGGTAAGGGGGGGTATAAAAATATTTTAAATTATCGTTCACAAGGGGGTGGGAGTGGGGGAGTAACGATTATGTCAATAGACCCTCTCTATGGGGTTTTCATTTATGTTGAGAGGGGGTAAACAGTGAGGATTGTGATTATTCACGGTTAAATACACCTCATGGTAACACGGAGCTTTCAACTTACTTTTGGGACGCCCTACCCCTATAAAAGAGAAAGCAAATATTCATTAATACGAACTGTTTCCACTATTTGCCTTGATTTTTTAAAATCGTTCAGAGATACTTTGACGTATTGCGTACTGTTTTGTATGTTGGAACAACTTGTGGTACATTTGTTTGTGTTTAATGTGTGCATGGAGCGAGAGAGGGTGAGGGGAAATAGTTGGGGATGTGAAAGTATTTGCGGCATTACCATCGACACAACAGCGACAATTTCTTCTTTTTTTTTTGTTCGAGGGGATCGAGATGAAATGGTGATGGGGATTCATGTGAAATTGAAGAGAAATGTTGATGGGGGGATGAGGGAGGGTATCTCTCGCCTGGGAATGGAATAAGAATAATTCGATCGATAAATTTCATATGAATGAATTGTTGATTGACAAAATTAATCATTAGATCCTGTTTAGATTTCTAAGAGTAACAAGTGATTTCTGCGTAATTCAACAACTGACAACAGTTAAACGTAAATCGCAAAAAAAAAATGAAAAACACGAGTACAAGCGGTGTTTGCGTGTTTTATTTGTTAACCGAGCAGTACTTTCAGCTCTCAACAAATCGGATTAATGAAAATAACAGGTAAAAATAGAGCAGATAACACGATTTAACGAGACGATAAATAGGCGAGAGAGTCAGATATTTAGCTACGACGATTATTACAATAAATTCTTTACAATCGTACTCAACAGCAAGTTTATCACTATTTTTATTTATGTGGACGACAATAGCAGCGATAGCTCAAAATAAAATGGAAAAGATACATAAACAGAAGAGATTAAGCGCGGACGGACAAGGCTTTGACCGAATTAATGAATTAATGGAGTAAATGAAAGATATGAGAGTGAAAATTCAGAGAAAAGAGTATTGATTAATTTTAACAGATAGAGGCAGAGGCAAAGAGACAGGCAGACTGGAACTTACTCGACTTTTTTCTCGGGCTGCCTTTAATTGTCAACAATCAAGTCGCATTGCGTCGATTGGCGGTCGCAGGTGGATTTTTTTTTATTTATTTTTGTTTGATTTTTTTTTTTTTTTGGTTTTGGTGAAATAGAGAAAGAGAGAAAATACCATAGTCAGTTATTGGCTTATCGGGGGGTGGGTGGGTGGTGGGTTGATTTTTCAATGAAATTCTTGATATTCTTGGGCCTGTGTGGGAGTTTCCGGTGACGAAATGGTGCTGATGTCTCGAATTAATCGAAAAATTGAGTAAAACTCATGAAATTCAATAATTCACACCGGAGAAAAATTTCCGTTTTCCATACTAATGAAAATTCTTCGAAAAATTTGGTATTCGTTTCCCCAAAAAATTCAGTATCGAAACGTGAAAGACTCCTGTCTCTCCCTTTCATCTGTAACTGTTTCATAAATTTTGTGACTCGGTGTATTATTCCCAATTAAAAATTCCTAAATATTAGCTCTTCGATGGAACTTGGATAGCATCTCATTAAAATGTACGGAATTAAAAAAAAATATTATTCTTTAGTCGGCCAGATCATCTCGAATTTACACAGAGATTATCGAAATAATAATTTCGCTCCGGATAACGTGAGCCATTGCTCGTAAACTTTTCCTCCGTGCGGAGTCTTTCAATTGATCTTTGCATCGCGATTTATCGACTATTTCAATGCCAATCGATTAAATATCTCGGGCAATGTTCTTCATCTAAATATAAAAACCTAAAATATCAATAAACCGAAAAGCGCTTTTGAAAACTACTTGCATACCATTACTTGTGTGACTGTGTCAGCACCATCCGGCCCCGGTCTCTATTTTCGTGGTGGAAACACACGCTCTAATTATAAATTTGCTCCGGCCCCCGAGCATCATCGTTCTACCACAAAAACGAGAGAGCAAATTTTAGGCATGGAAATTCTCAACAAGAATCCCACACGTTTGCTACGTTACCACTGGGATTACGCAATTCGTATGGATTTCTGATTTCTTGCCGCCCTTTTTTGAAAATTTCTGACGCACGATGACTATTGTCAATAAGTTCGAGCGAACATTCTAATTATAGAGACCCACCACTCAGCTATTTATCTTATTTTTTTTTCCACTCTAAATATTGACCTGTGCTGCAACTTGCTCCCTCATTTCTGTTACGAAAATTTCTAATTTTACACTTTGATCCCTTCCTTTATGTTTTCTAATCTCTTTTAATTTTCGAATTGGCTTCATTCGGGGCGATTTGGGGGTTTCAATTACTGAACCTTTCAAGGCGACTGGAAACTTACTTCCTGCAATAAAAATATCACGAAATTAATATCACCACATGGTAATGTTTCTGATATATTGACACTTACACTTCCTCGACCTCCTCTTCGCTGCTGCAATTGAAAAAGAAATGGGAAACAAGAAGTTAGTTACATTGGTTCATTCAGGGTGGAAAATGTCATTTTACTGGGGAACAGTCATTTTGTACTGAGGGAATTTATTTTATCAAATGATTGTAGACGGAATTAATTAATTAGAGGCTATCGTGATATATTTGATTTAAAAAATCTGTAATACACCGGGGGATAATTGTGCACTTGATTCTTGTGGCAAATGAATTTTATTTCGGTGGAAAAAAAATTTCCTCATTTGAGTGACGATTGACAAAAAACGAGGGGATTTTTTCCAGAGACAAAAATTAATATTAATTGACAGAGGGGAACAAGTAGTTGTTCTGGATGTCCATACAATATCATAACGATAATTGCCATGCAACAGAGAACTGATCTTCAAATTTTCCATCGAGAATGGAAATATTATAAAATTCTTTCGATAATTCGAAACTGGGCGGGCTCGATTTTTCCTATTAATTCCAAAAAGATCCTCCGTTGAACGCATAATATATACTCACGAGTATTGCTCCTCGTCGTCAGACATGTTGGGGGGTGGTTATGGATTCTGAAATATAAAAAAAACAGGATTTTTTATAGAAGGATTATTTCATGAGTGAAAGAGAGCCAGGATGATTTAATTGCCGTCATAAACGCGAGATGAAAACTCTGGGGAGTAATTCGATCCGTCGAGCGAGTGATTTGCTGAGCCTAGGCCAGACTCGATAAGTGAACACGGCCTCAAGCTCTATAAGGAGAGCCTGACCCCTTCCTAAAACATTAAACTCGGGTACCAATCCTAATTTTAGATGTTGCGCGCGTCCCGGCGCTCATTCTCTTTTAAAAAATCGGTACCAGTCAACTAAATCCCACATCTACGAATAAATAAATGAAACACTTAGACCAAAAAGGAGTCGAACCGGATCCTCTTGTTCTCCCCGTGGACGATCTCCTGAGTTTCCCGGATTTCACGAAATTCCCGACTGCTAAATGGGGATAGGCCGATTTCGATGGGTTTATATCCCTGGAATTACCATCAATAATGCATCCCCGATGTTAATTGAAAATCTACAATAATCCAGATCGATGTGTACTTAGTAGTAAAGCCCCTGGAGTTTGCCTCAGGAGGTTTTCAGTTATTCAGATCGTATGACTAGCTGATGACCGGCCCCCTTCAAGTTTTTGGGTCAAACGTAAATTCAAATTGAAGCTCAACGTCGGGACTTTGCTCTCGTGATTACTGTTAATTCAATGATGAATACCAGAACGAGTTAATTCGAATGGAACGATGAATAATTAGTATCACACAATTGTCTGAGAATGCCGGTGCACATCAATTAATCAGAAAGCACATCTCACACTGATATTTTCCACTCAAAGTGAAAATTCAGACGTTGAATTTTCAATTGGACTCATCACGTGTCTCACAAGATTATCGAAGAGGCCCAATCACTCACGACAAATCATCTCGTGATAAACGAATCAGTCCCCAATAATTATAAAATATCCTGATGATTTTTTTTTTTATCGAAATAAACTTACACTCGGGGGGTGAGAAAAAAAACTAAAATCCCTCGATTCTTCGGGGAGATTCCTCTTGTTACGATAATCCGCACACTCACGGGAGAGGGTTTTCCGGTGGAATGTGGCGGTTGCAACGGTTACAGCGGCTCTGAAGTCCGACCTCTTCGCCCTGGCCAGAGACTCAAAGCCCAATCCTCTCGCTCCTTATTTTTTCAACTCTCCTTTCCACCACACATCCCTCCCCATCTTTCTTCTTACCATTATTTTCTGTTTCTTTCAAAACCCGATCATCTCCCTCCACCTCGCATTCAGCTTCCTCCACGCCTTCTTCGTGGATTCTAATAATAAAAATCCCCCACAACCCAGTCTCACCAACTGAAACTCCGTCTTCATCGTCATCAACGATTTTCATCGAGTCTCTCTCATGTACAAAACCATGGTTTACTATTTCTGGGCGGGTGAGGATGAAGAGGAAAGAAAAAAAAGCGCTGAAAACGCCCATGTCCTCCGGACTTCCCCCTCTCAATGTGAATTACCACACGAACCATTGGAGGACAATTGAAATATTATTCCAATCGCCTGGAGAACTCCTGGCGTTTCATTTCATTTTTATGGCTCGACGTGAAACCGATTATTCTGAACAATTCCAGGGGTGCCCTGGAGCAATCACTATTTTTCCTGGACCTCTTCGCGGTATTCTCGATAATTGAAGACTCGTTATCGATCGTGTAATTCCTGGGGGATTAACTTGATCCTCCGTGGAATATTTCCGAGAAGAATAATAGAATGATCCCCTCATTTCATCCGCCATCAAATATAGAAACATGCCAGGTCGCAAAGTCGAAATATTCAGAATCTACTGTATCTCGGTCGTGTCCCACCATTTCCCCTCGTTCCTCAGCTTTTCGGAGTGAAATAAAATAACTACATCGATGATATTATAAACTGGGGGTTCGTCAGTGAAATGGGAGACGATTTCGGTCACTAAAATACCACCAAACGGGGAGCGGTCATTATTTTTTAAATATTTTTTGCGATATATCAAAAGTTTCAGAACCAAAGTGGTAAAGTAAGACGAGTCCTATTATAATTCTGATGAATATCGATTGATATTAAATACGATTTTCACATTGATTTTCAAAGAAAATACCCAAAGATTTTTTCCATCCAGACCTCAATCAACACCAAAAAGTCGTCTAACATTTCCCTCGTAAGTCAATAATTTTGCCGATAAATCGATCATTAATGCGGTTTTTTATTGATATTGATATATTTTTATTAACATGAATAATCAGATATTGAGTAAATGGCACTGGCAGATTAATTAACAATTAATACTGGAGGTTAGCGTGAGTGGAGGTGAAGTGCATTAGCTGATTACTCGAGTCGATTCCACGGATATTCCTCTGATCGTGGAGGAATTGATCGATGAAGGATGAAAATTGAGGGCTCGCGAGGTGACGATGAGTGACGAGATGCTGGTGGAGGTGAGAGACGCTTTCGACCCCAGTGGGCTCCATATATGGAGCCCTGAGCTTTTGAGGGAGGGAGCAGCGTGCGCAAGAATATAGAGTTGCGTTACTCTCGTGTGTGGATACTATGCCAATGGGCCAGCTCGCATCTCTCGTATTAATGTCTCCATTTTCATAAGGGGATTATTTCAGTAGCCAAGGGTGACAAGTCCATTTAGCTAACAGATAGGTTATCGAAGGATATCTGGGAATCCAAGGGAAATAGGGTAATTCATGTCGAGACATTTTTTCGGGGTATTAATCTGCTCGAGAAAAAAGGTCCTACAAAAAATTTCGGTATCTGGCTTTCATTCGCAGATATTTTCCAAAAAGCAAGTGTGAAGTCCGCTAGGAAATCGATCTGAGTGACGGATTTTCGGGGAATTTCTCGGAATCTAAGGGAGATAGCGAAATTTTTGATATTGCCTTTTGTGTAGGTATCGGTCTATTCTGTGAAAGAGGTCCTGAGGAAAATTGCGCTATGTCTCGTGAATTCGGAGATTTTTCGCGAAAACTGGTGTCGATTTGTTACGGTTACTCCTTCTCTACTGATTTATCCGAGACGGTGTGGGGGTTTGGCGATCTAGCGAGCCATTGAGGAATGCATTCTGGGGCATTAACGTGTAATCGTTGGTGTCAATGAATTAAAGTGACAGCTGATTGTGTGAAATAGTTTAATTAATCGTTCTGGTCAGTTTTTAGTATTGTTTCCATGGTTTTTAATTGTTTTAGAGATGGATTACAGAGTTTGTGCGTTGAGTTAATTGGACAGACTTACGTTCGTTACTTTCTCATGGTCGGTATGATGGGTCGTTTGAAGGGTCTGTCTTTACCCCCAAATCTCAATTGCCCGGACTCTTTCTTCCCTCCGAATCCGCCACCTTCGCGACGATCGAGAATACCATTATTTATTTTTAAAACTAACTGGGATGATACAAAAATAACTGCATTTTAAAAATTTACCCAATCGCCTCGGTTTCCAGCCTTTCATCGTTCTCCCACACTCGTGGTCCACAAAAATCTTGGACCCACATAAATTGCCCTCATTTAATCGCCTAACAGCTCTTCTTGCCTCCTCCTCACTGGACATCTCGATGAATCCATAACCCTGGGACTCCCCTGTTACTATGTCGACGATTAGTTTCACGGATTTAACCTCACCAACTGTTGAAAAATACTAGGGGAAATATTTTATATTTATATATTTATAATATTTTATATTTTCACTATTGATTACAATTTTCTTACATCTGTCAAATCCTGTTTATCAATTTTTGGTCCCAATCGAGCGACAAATAATGTGCGAGATGGATGAGATTTCAAGCTTTTCGGGGGCTCGTAATGAGAGTTAATTGCTCTGGTAATTGCTCTGTCGTGTGCCACTGTGTCAGTGCCATCGATGCTACCAGCTTTCAGGGGGTCATATTCCTTCGCATATGCACTCCAGTTCTTCAGGACACTAATATCCTTCAAGAGAATTCCACATTATTAACAAAAATCAATTCATTACAGAAATAAAGAATTCCTCGGTATTGGCGAAAGAAACTCCTTTTAACGTTGGAAAAGAATCTAGACTAAAAATTTTCCTCACGAATCAAGAAATTACACTTTTCCAATAAAAAAATTATTTCATCATGATTTTTTTTACTGAAATTATAAACATGTTTTTTTTTAGTCAGAAATAAATTTCTTAGAATGAATCGAATAGGTTTTTCAAATGATTTTTATTTTTGACATCAAGAAACATTTTTTCTCATTTCTTTAAAAATCAGTTCCTCCTTATCTCACCATTCTCAGCTGTTCTTTTTCGAGGTTATAAGAGAGTGAAAAGAGTTCTCGATCACTGGATGATGCTTTCCTTATCTCAATAATAACAATCACGAGAAATTCCGTTTACTATATCAATTCGTAATGTTTAACTTCTATCATTAGGATTTGTTTGAAGCAAAATAATAGCGTGTGGATTGTTTACATTTTCTCCATTCACAACAAAACCCAATCTTTGGGCCACCGCCCTCTGCATTGATTCGCTGCAATTTCCGATTCAGAAGTGTAGACAAGCGCCACGAACTTGAAAAAATTTTTTTTTAATTCAATTCCTGAAAATCCGCGACACCTGACAAAAATTCAATTATTCACTATAAGGGTAAATTAATTGAAAAAAATGGGGAGAAACCATAGAAATGTTGAAACACTTTATTAAATTTCCCACAAAATACAATAACCAAAAGCCGACCTTATAAAATTTACACCGCATTCACCCTCAAAAATACAATAAGAGCACTCCCCCATCCGAGCAGCGAAAAAAAAAATCTCCACCTGGAAAAATGGATGGAAAAAAAAATGTCCCAACAAAAGATCTCCTAGAGAAGATCGACATTGATGTGAGCTCCCATCCGATTAAGCGCGAGAATAGTGTTGACAGCTTTGACCCATCGTTTCTTGATGACATACCTCTTGAGTCTGACCTTGGAGATGGGATTCTCGAGAGCACCAACGAGCCACCGGTGCTCCTGGAGTTGACCAGCACTAGGCCTCTTGCTGGAATTGAAACGACAACTCCAATGAACGAAATCCTTAGCCTAATCTACTTCAAACCCCCCAACACAGTACAGATCTCTTGGCCCATCGACTGGAGCCAAAGTAGAAATAAACGATTGAATTCCCCTGAAAATCTCCAAAAAGTCCATCAACGCTGTATAGATGAGACAGCAGTCTTAACCGACTTCTTCTGCTCAGACTGAAAATACTGAGCCAAAGAATTCATGGACCTCCTGGCAACCGAGTCCTCAGCCCAATCGACACTGATGCTCTTCCTTCCCCTGTCGCCTCCAGGTCTCTCCTCCCACTCCCCCAGGAGTTGCAGGAGTAAATCCTTGGTGCTGGTGGGTTCATCGAAGTCAATGCTCTTGTGAAGATCGCGTAGATTAGAAATCCTCGGGACATCCCTACAGGTCTCCCCAAATCTTCTTTTGATCCTGGGCTTTCTCCAGGGTGGTGTCAAATCAATATCCCCATTACCCACCTCCCTACCCTGACAAACTGACAATTGATCCCTCATTTTGGCCCTCCAACTGGTACTCAAGCTCTCCTCCTCATTCTTGATGCTATCCCCACTGATGAACGCCTCATTCAGCCTCGAAGATGATCGCTTCAGGGTGAACGTCCCTGAATTGTTCTCCTGCCTCTGGTACTGCCTATTACCATTAAAAGTCGTGCCATTCAATTTTCTCTGGCGCTTTATCGTCGACAGTTTCTCAGAAATCTCATTAACTTCACTATTTCTATCTCTACCCTGTACTCTAGAATCGATGCGCCCATCAACGCTGCTTTCCCTCATTTTTTTTTCTCGGAAGCTCGACGTTCTCTCCGCAACCGTTTCCATCTTCAGGGATGGCACTCGCCTTATTTTATCACCAACTAACCGCGTTTTAACTTCCTCATCCCTCTGACTGGATGATGATGCCGCGATTGAACGCAGGTGTTCGGATAGTTTTATTATCTCCTCGGCGAGGACAATTTGGCCAGCTGGATCGCGGGCGTTGGACGCCTTGGAATTTCCCTCCGATGCGCGTCTTTCGAAACCGAGGGATGGAATATTCAGTTGGGCAGTGGTTCGAGGGGTGTCTGACACCTCTGAGGAACTGCTGCAGATGCTCTGAGGGGGTGAGGGACTCTGCCCACCGAGGGACGTAGATTCCGCTCTGTGGATTGATGATACAGACTCCAGGGTGTCCTCCAGCATGTATGGACTGTTCGGATGCTCTCTCCAGCGCTCCACAAACTGTCTCAGGTTGTCCTTCGTCACGTCCAAGGATGGGGGTGTTTTCTCCGTTGGTTTTTCCATTAACTTTTCTGTTGATTTTTCTATTGATTTTTCTATTGAATTTTCTATTGAATTTTCTATTGATTTTTCTATGAATTTGTCTACTGATTTTTCGGTTTTCTCCGGTGATTTATCTCCTGGCTTCTCCTTCTTCCCCTTCTTCTCCTCCGGCTTCTTCTTCTTCTTTTTCTTTTTCTTGACCTCCGTCTCTTTGGATTTACCATCAATTTCCAATTCTACTTCCGGTTGAATTTCCTTCGGTGGCTCGTACCTCTTGATAACCGATGATCCCGGGTTTGTTATCCAACGGTGTCTCTGGCATTGAGCCGCTGTGGCTCGCTTTCTGGAAACATTGTCAGGGGTTTTGGATTTTAGGCTTTGGGATATGGTTTGGAGGTGGATTTTTATTTTGATTGGTCTTTCGTGCTCTTGATATTTTCTCCGTTCCATCAAAGAATTGGTTTCGATTTGGTTTTTGTTTTTTGTTCATGCTTGGGCAGTCCTTACGGTTGATTCTACGGTGCTGTTCATCGGCGGTTTGATTTTTCGTTTAATGAAATTGAAGATTGACAGAATAGAAAATCGACGAGACAAGAGATCTGTGTCACTGTGATGGTTTATTAGTTTGATAAATCACGTTGATGAGGTCGTTTTTTTTTTTCGGGTGAAAATTCAGTCTGCGGGGATTTTAAATTTTTACTGGCAGTTATGGCTGAGATGACTATTGGGGGACTAGGGGAGGGTTTTTGGGGTTTAGGGGGATTTTTTATCGTGGATTAGAGGAGTAGTGATGAGGGGATCTTTACAGAGCCACGAAAGACACTTTGGGACCACTAGCTACTTTCGACTGTGTCAGACAAGTCTAAGAATGTTAATCACAAATTTAGCCATGAGAAAGCAGTTTGCGAAATAAAGATTCTCACTCTTTGTCCTTTATGAGGAGACGTCTGATGAAGTCTTTGGCGTCTTCCGAGATGTCGGCGAAGGCCTCGTGATCGAAATCGTATTTCGCGATTGTTACGTTCGCCATCGTCTCGACATCGGTGTCACCCATGAATGGAGAAAGCCCTGAGAGACTGAAACATTCAGAGGCTCATGAGCTAGTAAAATTTTTTTTTTAGATATTTATCCATTTCTGCTGCAATTTCAAAGAAAAAAAAATTCATTGAATTTATGGTGGAATTCTACGTTTCTATAGAAGTTTCGAGGCTTTAATTCATAAATTTGGTTTTATTAGTTTTTATAATTGTAGCAGCTGACAGATAAATATCCATGAATTTGTAGCTAGAGAATTTGGCATCAATAAATCATTACAGAACATAGCAGATGACTCCGATGCTCCACATGTCTGTTCCATATCCAATTTCATCGAAATTCACGACCTCCGGCGAGACAAATTCCGGTGTACCAAACAGCACCTGGAGCTTCTTCTTGGGATCATACTCCCTGGCGAGCCCAAAGTCGATGATTTTTATTCTGTTACCCTCTTTCGTCAAGCACAAAATGTTCTCCGGCTGCAAAATAAGAGCCAATACTTAGAACCATCAGGATTGCCTAATTTTAAAGTGTATTAGTTCGGCTCCATTTATCCATCTTTTTTTTAAACCAAGTCAAATTTTTTGGCATCGTTCTAGCTACACGCGTAAAGACTCTCATTTTCTCCTAAATTATCATAAATAAAATATGACCGATTCATTTTTTTTTATTCCTGGATTTTCAAGGCCTGGGGGGGGGGTTTATTATAATTTACGAGACCAATATAATTGAAGTCAATAATTGGGCGAAGGAAAAAATAGGATTTTGGAAAAGTCATTTTCCTGTATAAAAAAATCATAGGTATGACCCCTGGGACCATTTCCATTTTTGAAATATATTCTCGGAGGTTTGATGATAATTGCGTTAATTAAATAAAGCACAAATGAACCCCACCTTCATGTCTAAGTGGAGAACATTCTGGGCATGTACGAATTCGATTCCCTCGCAGATCTGTCTCATGAAGACCGCACAACTCCGCTCTGTCAGGTAGAAGTCGTCGTCGATGACGCGCTCGAACAACTCCCCACCCTCAATCAACTCCAGGACAACGTAAAATTTCTTCTCATTATCAATAGCATCGTATAATTGAATTAGCCGAGGGTGCTGAAGTCTTCTCATTATCTCCACTTCCCTCTCGACATCTCTCCGATCCTCTTTCTTCGTCGTGTTGACGATTTTCGCTGCCAATCTCAGTCCACTCTCCTTCTCTTTGCACTGGTACACCGTTCCGAATTTTCCTCTGAATAGAAATTTAAGTGTACAGACTAGACACTACATATTCATCACAATCTACAAAAAAAAATCCTCACGACATTTTTTAATACAGCATTCGTAAATTACCGGACGGTTTTTTAAAATCCTTTTTAATATTTTAAGTGGACAATTGAGTTTGGGAATAATTGATATCGTCGCCGATTGATTGACCTAGAAAGTATTATCCCCTCAATGTTTAATCCGAAAACCGCTGAATTTGTGCAAGAGTATGAAAAATTGATGATATAAATTCATTGTCTCCGGCGATTTCCGACTGAATAAACAAACAGACGCGAAATAGCGAAATAAATTTCAATTCCGTCGGAATTTCTCATGTTACATTGGAAGATATTTCAACGTATCCGCCCGGAAGAGTGAGGGGGTTGAAAAATCCCTGCTATTCGTGCCAAGAGATAAAAGGAATGTGCAGAAAATCAAATGCACCTCCAACCACTTGAGAGGTGATGTTGAATATCAACGCCAAAAAATCATTTTGCCCCATCTCCCTGGCAGTTTCATCTTGAACCTCGTGGTGTCAAGTGCAGAAATCAAAGCCAGGATGTTTGAACACTCTGACCAATACATTTAACCGACAAATCGTATGAATGTGACTTGGGATGAGTCCGGGATCAGGGAATGGAATTCAATCGGCATGCAGACCCGTCGTCATTCTACGACACGTTGTACACGCATTATTTATAGAAAGAGACCTTGATTACTCAAACACATACGCCCACCACCTCCATCTCACTCCTTTTGTTTTCAACATGTTCAACGAGGATGGAGTGGGGAATATAAAAATTGTTTGAGACCACGCGGTGTTTTGCATTCCGACTCTTTATCAATGCAAATTGCATCACACCTATTCGCAGATATTTTCTTGTGCGCCGTTTCGGGACATCTGTCAGGATATCGCGATATTCCCATGTGGTGTCGAGGGTTGTGCCAATAATTTCATCATTTTTCCAACATTCTGCATATTTTTTTCAACCAAGGGGATGTGCCAGTTTTCACTCATTACTCAGTCGAGGACACGGAAAACATTGGCAGTGAATCACTGCGGAAGTCCCGACATCGTACTCGTAGGTCTCCGTGAATTTTAACGACTTTCGGTTATTTAGTGGCTATCGAATTTTTTTCAATTGATAGGTTCATTCGACATGTAGTGATAAAAACATCTACGTTTAACAAATTAAATTTTGCTGACACCGGAAAATTGTCTTGTTAATTTAAAAAATTATCTGTTCGCCACAAATTTTTGTCTGCACAGGAAAAAAATTATTTGAAATTATTATTATATTCCTGTGATTGTTTTATTATTACTTCTCTATGGCGCAATGATTTTTTAATATTCTCAGGACTATAGAAGATTTAAGCTCGTCGACTTTAATATCTGTTTCTTCTCCTTTTTTTCATGTGTCAATTAAATTTTATTTGTCAAATGCAGATTTTCGTGGGAGCGCTTGAGATGGCACAACAGTACGGCTGTCAATATATAGATATAATGAAAATGTCGGGATATTTTCCCTATTTCTCAATGACTCTGTTTATTCTTCGGAGGATCCCAAGTCATCTGCATCATTTCTCGTTTTATTGAGTGTTAAATTATTTTTATGAGTTTTGCTTGTTCGTGTCTTCATCTGAGTACATTAATTTCTGAGATTCAGTGACTTGCGTAATGAATTGGAACTTATCTGGATTTTCATTGAAACTTGTCTTGTCCTCGGTGGAATCGAGGGAATTCCTTTCGATTGAATCAATTGAGGGGTTTTCATTGGTGCGAGGAAGCTAATGAGTGTGAAGATGGATTAATTGCCGGAGTGATCTAGAAGGCTGATTATTGCTGTGCCAAATACAATTCGGTGCATAGTACGCTGATTATAATTAATCGACTAACGCCCTGACGTCCTTGACTCGAGGAGGAAAATTGACGGGTTCTGATGCGCACCGTTTTGACGGAACGCCGAAGGACGAAATTTAAAATTAAATAAACGGGCTGACGACAAACTTTTAGGTGAAGAATGAGATATACGAGCTGTTCTTTAATTTACATTTAATTTTTCATCTCCACTCACCGACCAAGTTCTGTTTGGAGGTCGTAATGTTCCTTGAAATCAACACGACGTACTGCTACATCTCGATATGGAAATGGTGGCTCAATTTCTGGAAATCAATTAAATATATAAAAAAATTCCGCTGAAACCATTGACAAATTTTCTATTCGATGTTTAATATCCGCAAAAAAAAAATGAAAAAACAGGAATGATAACAAAAATGACTTTTTGATAAAAATTCCTAGTGGAATATTTTTTATCGAATTTCACTGACTTGTTTGATTTTCTTCATTTTCTTCAAAATTTTCTACAAATGATGTAAAAATTTTGAGGCATACAGAAAATAATTGTCAGTAGAATTACCTAGAGAATTAATTGAATTAATTCTGATTGATCTCACAGATGTTTCAGATTCTTTTAATTAACGTCAAACTGCCAGATCGTTAATGCTTTCACTGAAAAAAATCCCTCAATTCTAATAATTCTTGATTCTAATTAAGTTTTCCCCTAAATAGTTTTTTCATTTGACTCAAGGGATCTGTGTCTGCCCTCGATGGAGTTTCCACTTGACTCTCAAAGCCCCCTAATTTTCTATAAACAAAAATGGAATTACAATCGAGAGTTCTAAAATAAATTATTTTTTCCTGAGCCCTCCAATGATTTTCCCCCGTATCAATCTATTATCCAGTATTTTCACATAGAAACGACAAGAATGTGAATTGGTTAATCCAAAAGCACAGTAGAACGGAATTAGAAAATAATTCCTGTAGCTCGAGGAATGTAACGTCGAAATCTAAAAAAATCTTACCACCAACTGGATCAGACTCGTCGACCCGAATCATTTTGAATTCTCTTCCGGGTGGCCGGAAGTCCTCAAAATTTGTTGAAACAGAAAAAAAATGTTAACAATCCCCGATGACTAGTCGAGTTGCAATCTGAATGATCGGTCCATGTGAGAATGATTGAGGATCTGGTTTGTCATCAATGAAACTGATTTGATGGGATATGCCTCGAGGTGTTGCTGGCTAGGAGCGATTATTGACTATCGTGTACGAGTTTCGAGGGGGTCCCAGCTCGGGCAAGTTTCTTCTTCCTCTCGGCTCGGACGAATTTAGATTTTCCGAGCGGACGCCGCAGATTCTGGTGGTAGTCACGTGGTATCCATACCAGGTTTATATGCCTCATGAATATATCTCACCACGACGCATTCATTATCCCCGTGAAATATCAGTATCTTGTGTTCCCTCCAACATGCTTACTCTAGAAGACCATGGTCCAGTGGAAGATACCGATCGCCGGTGGAGGGATGGGGGTGAATTATCAAAACGATCGTTAAACACCCGGAAAACAGAAAAATAATCAACACCTACACGCTTTTTACGGGTACATAAAAACACTATTAATATTCTACATTTTCCACTGTCTTGAAATCGAATGTGTATGGGATACACTACACAGAGAGAAAAAAATTCTTGATGGGAGGGAGAACTTTATTTATTTTAGGGAGAGCTTCCTAGATTCAAGATCGGATCTATGGAATCTGGAAATTTTATTTTTTGGGGAATTGCTTTTCGAGTGAGTAAATCGGGTAGAATATCGAATACCGAGCGAGAAATAGGATCGGCCTCCGAGGGGTGAAATCATTATAAACAAATCATGTTTTTAGAATCCCTTGCAAGAAGTACCCAAAATCGGGGGTGAAATTGCACTATCTCTTTTTTTCAGAGATATTCCTGGAAAATTCAACCATTATAGGTGGAATGCTTGAATATAAAAAAAACTCATTTACAAGTGTCATTATTTGGTTATCAATTGTTCTATTTATCCGAATAAATAGAATAGGGAAAACGTGATGATTCTCACCTAAAAAAATAACGATATTTATAATTATCGTTATTATTTGCATAATTTTTCGAATCCAATATTTTCGTGTTGGAATTTCGACGTTTTAAAAGTGGCGCGCTTCTCTTTGCGCATGCCTCTACACGAAAAATTCCGGAATTGTTGATTCACCAGTGTTTACGTTTTTTAACCTACTCGGATAATCAACAGAAAAAAATTAAACAACTTTCACAAGATCACTGGATAATTCCATGAAAAATTATTCGCAATCACGTCAAAATGGATACCACCCACGTGAGTAAAAAAAGTTGCAATAATTCATAAAATCAGCTGACCTATACCGAAGAAAATGAAGAATGAACGGATGAGGTTAACTGGCTCCTGATAACACTGAAAATTTTTTAGATGGATGAGAAGGTTTTGCTTGTAACAACTGTCAAGAACCTCGCAACACCAAACGGGAGATAAATCATGTATGGGACTCATCATGGGACTCATTATGGGACTCATAATCAGGGACGATCGACTCGTCCTGACTGTCATCATTCTGTTGGTATTTGGCATATGTATTCAAAGAATCTAATCATTTTGTGAATTTCTGTTTTCTAGATATTCGAGGACTTCGTTAAAAACGTGAAATAATTCCACAATATTCCAGTGATGCGATCTCACTTTCTGCTTATAATATTAATAAATATTAATTTGTTATAATGTTGTTGTATGTAGTTGACCAGGAGGAGTTTCAATAAATGGACACCTTCGATGGGTTTTATGCTTTTTATTTGAAAAAACCAAAGTCACTGACACCTGAATAATTTAAATAATTCAAATAAATACTAGTGAGATCAGTCAGCATCGTCAAACTTAAGAGTACGTAGAAATAGTGACACACTTGTTGTCTTGATTTGAAAAAATACGTCGACGGATTGAGATGATATGTTGCAAGAGGCACAAAATATTCACTCAATTTGAGCGATCCACTTGTCTTTATCACGCATTTTCGATGGGAGAAGTTATCTGTGGGTGGTTATGAGTTAGTCGAGTGATTCCAGGCTTTTTCATGGTGACTTCGAGCTTGTTCACGTCAGGAGAAAAACCCTGGGTAGCTCGCCAGTAATCCTTGTGAGACTTCGAGGGGAAGAGAACCAGCGAATCGTTGGGCTCCGGCAGAATAGTCCCAATCACGAAATTAGGGACTTTCCTCATGGACTTCTTTAATTGAGTCTGGAATAAAAATTAAGATTAGAAATAGTATTCAGGGTTCATATAATTTTTCAAGGGTCATTCCCTTTACTTCTTTGATGTGAAGACGTAAAGGGAATCTCTACTTTATTCTTACTATACGCGTTAAAACGTCCTCGAAGCTTTTACCACAGTGCGAGGTGCAAGCGTTCCACATTCGTTCAACACAAAATTCCCAAAAATGCAGAAAAATGATTTATCCTTTTATAATTTATTTGAATTTCGCGTGCACTTTTGAGAAATCTCATGTGCTGGCAAAATTGTATTGAACTCATTTGCGTACATATCATGCAGGATTTTAGAAAATGAGTACAATCATTCCCAATTTGGTAAAAAAAATGGGAAAGGGATAGGACAATTGAAAAAGTCATTGATGATGCAACAGTGAATCGATAGAAATTCCAAAGAAGCTCTCAGAGAGAGAGTGTTTCAATAAATTTTTATCATGCGTCTCATGCGTAAGTTAGAGCAACGAAAATGCAGGAAAATTGAAAATTTAAACAACACAATGCAATGCAATGGATTTTCAGTAATTGTAGCACCTGAGTGCAACGACGGGGCTTTTTAAGCCAGCGTTGGCAACCATTAAAGAATGATTTCTCATTATCATTCTTTTTAGCTTTCCTCATGCTCTTCCCCTCATCCTGTCGCCTCTGCCCCGAACTCCCCAGTCTCTCCATTTGTTTATCAAATACTTTGGGAAAACCATGTATACGCGTTGTTCCACGATGGAAAGGGTCATGTCTGTGGTGTCGTTTCTTACTTTTTATCTGTACCTCGTCCTCCGCCCCCTCCTTCGTCACCGTCCGCCTCGAGGAATACGGTAGGTTCACTATCCTCAGTGACTCCTCACTGCAAATTAGTGGGAAAAAAATTATCTCCCTGTTTTTCTCTTCTTTTTGTAACTGTTTCATGGTAGAACACGCAAACAATATACAATGTCAGTCATTCAATGTTGAACCCCTTGAACTTTAGAAAAAACTTCGCCTGATAGCTGGAGAGGTCTCGTTACGCGACCGATAAGGCATCATATTTGACAAATTCTTACAACTTCTACGAGGCCTTGTCTCCGAAGAGACAACGACTGGAGATTTCTTTATCAAAATTCATTCATTTGAAAATAAGAATAAATTCCACGGGTTTAATATTTACGATTTTTAATCGTTAATTGTCCTCGGTACTGAGGGTTTTTCGGGAAATCTCATTAGAGAGTCATTTACGATAGAGTAAAAAGACGAGTGATTTGAAAATCTTTTTCATATTCAGCTGAACCAATACCTGTTGAACGTACTGATTGAAGGAAAAAATTTATCCGCCCCGGTGGTATTTCTTGGGGCTGACTATTTTTGGATATTCCGGTTACGCTGGCAGAAAAATAATTGAAATTTCGGGGACCGTTGGCTTGTGATTTTCAGAAGTGTCGTTGACTTTGCTTCACGCGGAAATAATCATGACATAATCAAAAAGATAAAGATTCGTTGGCCGACTTGAATTTTCAGCGACAACATGAAAATACCAACCGTGATAAGTATTATCGAATTAAACTCAATTTCCAAATAATTAAAAATTCAAGAATTCAGCGATTTCTCGCAATTTTCGTGGAATAATTGCGCCGAAATTAATTATTTTTTGCAATTCGTCAATGAAGGAATCCTCAAGAATTGAGTGAAAATTTTTCAAAAAAAGTGAACCAGAACTACTTAAAAATAAATTTTTCAAAAATTTCTCGTAAAAACTTTCGAAAAAAAAAACAATAAAAAAACACATAGACACACATATACACATACACCATATAAAAATTGCATATTCGAACAGTTTAGGCCATATTTCCCGTAACACAGAAAAAACATAGATTTCAACGAGTACAAAGCTTCCATTCCACTGAATTTTCCATGCAAAATGTCGTAAGAACCATGAATACCAGAATAAAATGTTATCTTACATTCGACTATTTGAATTCTCTTCAGAAGGAAGTGGCTTGCAGTACTGCTCAAGCTGTTTGTACGTGCACGGTTGGTGACAGCATTCCTCGACGAGTCCTGTACCGAGGGTGACTTTGGGGTCAAGACCATCGGAGTAGGTAATAAAATCTTGGTATCCACGTCCCATGCAGGTGAGGTAGAGAGCATCACTGAGACTCTTCGAGCAAAGTCTTATCATCTGCGGCGCCCCCTCAGCACACCAGTGCATGCTCAACACCAGAATAACGAGTAACGTGGAATTTAGGTAAGTCTGCGCCATTTTTATTGACACCTTGATTGATTTATTATCGATGAAAAACGATATTTTATTTCTGCAACTTCAACTTCTTTGCGATCGGATCGCTGATAATTGCTGTGAATCCTTTTTGATTCAATTTGTTTATTTATTCATTCGATCCACTCACTACTGCCAATGTCTTTCTGGCTTGTTAATTGCTTTATTTATTGGTTTATTTATTGATCTGGGCAATTCGGTTGATGTGTGAGGGACTTTGAAAATTTGAGGCGGGAAATTATAGTACCGTCATCCGCGAGTTCTCCAGTTGAACTGAAGCCGGTACTCGACTTTATACTCGAGGAAGCGACCAGACACGAGTCACTGTAGTGCCATGATGTCCGTGACAGAAGGGCGCTTGTCTGCGCGTCAACACGTGGTCAGACTCTGTTTCATATATCAGACTTCCTCCTATGAAATTATTTCACGGAAAAATCTTGCGCTTCTACTTAGAAATCTCGTTAAATTTATATTGAAAAGATTAGGCTCGCCTTTCTGTCACCTCCTCGAAATATTATGCACACTCATTAATTTAAATACACATTTGTTTGTGGATAAGAGTCATAACTCCTGAATTGTACGATTTTTTATTTGCCAATTTACGCCTGAGTTTATATCGAAAAACGGCTCTTACTTTTGCGGACTTTATTCGGAGATGGAAGTCAAAATGGAGAGGAGGAAATTTGGAAAATAACACCTGAAAAAAATCGAGATAAATCCAAAAAATAAATTGACTCCGAAAATTCAATAATTGGCAAAAAAATCATATTTATTAAATATTCTTGTAATGAAACTTGGATGAAATTTCGAAAGAGTTCTAGGAAATTCTAGGATTTTCAAATTTTTTTCAAGCGTGGTATCATCTTCTCTAGGCACATGAGAGTTCATTTGAGTAATTTATACTTCTCCCAGATATAAATTCCGAAAGATCGATGTCCCCGACGGAGAATAGACATGACGAGCGAGACAGAGTTAGGGCGATATGTGGACGCACGAGTGGGGGCTATTTTTAAAATCTCCTCTGAAATAAAATTGATATTTCGAACTGAGACACGTCACTCCTGGTATTTACGTGTGATTAACAGATGAAAAATGTATTCTGAGGTGTACTGGCGGCAAAGGGGGATGATTGCAAAAATTCTGTAGACACTCTGAAAATATCTCGAGAGGGGAAAGAAGAATGTCAGATAATATCGATAATTGGAAAATCGCCGGAAAATTCTCTCGGCATTTGACAGTTGGAAATGTCAAGAATGCTTTGCAAATATTTCGAGAAAAGTTTCAATTTCGCAATTCATGCATTAAAAAAAAATTTCGAGAACACGTGTCGACGGAAATACATCAATATCCCTCGCGTAATGATTATTCAGCAACTGTAATTCTAATCTGGAAATAATTCCCTCTTTTTTTGCAAATTGCATTTCGCTGAAAAAGATTCTGAGTAAATATTTTCGCGGCCGTCTACCACCGGAGGGGAAGAATGGAAAGAGGGGATATGTAATCAGTGGGAGATAATTCGGCATCATTGACCACACGTACTTACTACCCGGTTCCGTAAACAAATCTGCCGCCTCTGATTACGATGACTTGTGTTGAACAGAATAAGAGAAAGTCTCACGTTTCTTTTCACACGGGGTTCGAGGAAAATCGACCAAGACAAGAAGCAATTGATTAGCCGGTGTCATTAAATAGTCATTCGTTTTTGTATTCCTCGTGCAATTAATTCCATCGAAGCGTGATTAATTAGAATGATCGGGCATTTGAATTCTTCCAAAAAGAGTGGGACGCAAAATCCTTTCACATTATCCGTCTTTCTCCATTTTCTTGGGGTTCACCGTCGAATTGACGTCCCACTGTACCCCTTATCTCTATTTTTATTTTTATTTTTATTATGCACCCCGAAACATGATTATCAATTTATAAATAAATCCCATCATCCAATCAATTTGAGATATGACCGAATACTTATTGGTAGTCACAATTAATCCGAAGAAACAGAATCATCAAAAATCTCAATTAATTCGCGAATAAAATGCCCTCTTTTTATTATTACTCACCCAGTAATGAAATTATGCAAAACCATTGAAAAGTGCTCCATCACTAATTTATTTCTAGTTTCCCAGAAGCTCCACTATCAATTTGTAAACAAACCCCATCATCCTATCAATTGATTATGTCACCCAATAACTGTTAATAGTCTTCCCTCGCAATTATCTCAATTTTTTTTCTCATTCATCAATGACAATTCAAAGAAATTGAATTATCAAGAATCCCATTGGTAGCAAAACCTCTTCGTCGTGTCCATTATTTCCGCAATTTCTATGCAAAAATTCGCCGACCAAAACGAATCACTCCCTCTCTATCAATAATGACTAATCAATTTTCCAAAAATACCACCAGACACATCCTCTTTTTATTTTTCCTCCTTCAATACCTGGACCATCAATTAGTAAATAAAATCGATAAGACCAGACACAAATCTATTTCATTGAATTTTTTTTTTATCAAGTAGTCAACTACATTCCATCGCTTCTTAAAAATGAAATAACCATTGAAAAACATCTGCAAAAAAAAATCAAGGAAATTAGTACTGAGAACCAATGAATGCAACCCGATAACACGTGACAGTTGAATTAATGGGACCCGGCTGATCTGCCTATTTACTTCATGTTTATTATCTAGACTAGACTTCGATCGCCCGAGGAAATATCTATTTCCAGTGGTGAAAGATATGATAAACTGACAGACATAAACGGGGTTAAGTTCGGAACCATTCGATTTCATCGGGTTATTTCAGTCGAGGTTTTGCATAAGTAAATTAGGTCGTCAATCTCCATTACCCAGCTATCACAGGGCGATACGGTGACGTTCATCAATGTTTATTTCGATACTATCAGGTACGATGGCACGTTACACATTCCATTTGACCCATTCTTATTTCATTTTTAAAAAAACCAAGGAATTTCCTCGAATATATCGCACTAATGCAACTGATTCCCACGAATAGTAAATATTCCATCATCAGAGATGTACAACATAATCGGTCGCCTTAGACCTCCCACTGGGCATCTTCCGCTACTTGTTTAGGCTCTCGATGCACGATAAATCGTGCATGATTGTTTATCAACGAATTCATTCCTTCAGCACGTGCCCACAAATAAACAGATAGGAGATATCGGATCATCAGTTATTTCACTTCATGTGCTCGATATTTCTTTTAGGAATTTTTAGCTGTTTTGCAATAACAAAAATACGGAAAATTATATATGATATTGTCGGGCCGATCCAGCACAGTCATTGGATTGTATTTACTACCGTTTTAGCTTGCACTTTGATTTTTGTGGAATTGCGATGAGCAAACCCGTGTCTGTGTGATGCAATTCGATTTTTGGCTGAATGAGATTAGATATCGAATTGCGACTGTTCGATGTTCGTGGTGGTACATATTCTGTGAAATTCTCGAGGAAAGTTAGGGAGCAGTCGCCAGAGACTTCGCCATTTCTCGCAAAATTTTCTTTTGAATTTTTCCTGACGGTGTCATCGGCATTTTATCCAGGATCTTTACCCCTCCGCGCAGTCTCATGTGGTCTGGTAGATTTTCTTCGACGTGCTTCATAATTTCTTCTTCGGTCACCTGAAATCGCAAAAGAGTCATTAATATGTTATTAATAAATTAGAGAAATTAAAGCCCTCCAGGCTGTTTCAGAAATTTTATTGAGTCCCTTGGAACTTGATAGGAATTCCATTGGGGCTGTTAGTTTCATTTTTGATTTTGATAACGAAAAAATAACGTTACATTGGAACCAGGGCGGGTTGTGATGAAAGCCATAGGCAATTCCAAGTCTATTAAATCGGGTTTGCCTACAACTCCAGCCTCGACGACATTCGGATGGTCCAGAATGATTTTCTCCACTACCAATGGAGCCACTGGCATGATTATCTTGTACTTAATGAATTCCTTCAGCCGATCGATGACGAATAGATCCCCGTCTTTATCGATATACCCGAAATCACCGGAATGATACCAGCCTGAGTTAAAAAATTATGACAATATTATAAGAATTCCAAAAAAATTCTTAAAATTTCACTCATAATTTCTTTAGCTTTAAGTATAGCTAATAATTGTTATTCGTATTGTGATTCGTAAACTTCGTTCAAATTAGAATTGAATAAGAATAAATTCGGTATTCAGTTCAACCTTGAGGTTTACCTTGAGTGTCTATCGACTCCGCTGTACTATTCGGGTCTTTGTGGTACCTCAGTATCATATAAGGTGATTTTAAATAAATTTCTCCCTCTTTGTTTGTTCCTAGTGTATCTCCGCTATCTATATCGACGATTTTTATTTGACAGTTTTCTCGAACTTTCCCACAGCAGCAAAGCTTTTCCGGGGAGTCCTCACGTCGGACGATAACTCCAAGCTCCGTCATTCCTATTTTATTGGAAAATGGTCATTCGAAGAGAGGAATATGTTTCAGGATTAATTTCAATAGACTTGAGAAAAGATGCCAAAAATTTTAGAAACTAGAAAAAAAAAGATGCTCGGGATGAAAATAAAATCAATTTATCCCAATGAATTTAATTTATCTTCAATTTTTCGTATTCTTTTTTTATTTTTATTCTATATTCCACACTTCGACTATTCCAACAGGATTAGTAGAAGTCAGAATGATTCCTGTGAATATATTCTTGACTCTTCAATTCACTACGAAATTTTCCCTGAAATTCTACATCCGATGAATTTTCCTCACAAACATCTTCGTCGATTGACTGCCAATCTATTTATAAAATTTCATTTCATCATTTTCCTGTCCGATTATCCCCAATGTGTTCCTCAGACAACATTTTCCTCTTGTCCTGTCATTACGATAAATTCTTACCGTATCCGAAATTCAGATCAGCGGTTGGAAATATTTTCCTCATGTTATCATCGACTTCTCTGTTGATACCTCCACCGCCGAAAATAACGTACCTCACGGATGAAAAATCGTATTCTCCAATATTTTTAAGTTTATAGAGATGATTAGCTGTTCCAGTGCTTATCACGAGGCAATTGATCTGTCGAAACGAATAATTGGATGTAATGCGGAGAATGCAATAGAAATCATCACTTACTTTGAATCGTTCCACTAGTTGACAGAATACTTCTACTGTGGGTCGTGAATATATCACAGCAGTGGAACGATTTCTCAGTAAACTTATAGTACTCCCAATTGCACTGATCCAACTGATCTCCGAAAACCAGAGGATGATGCTGTTGACAACGTATTTGTCAGGGGCGATATGCGATGCTTTCTCCAACCAACCGTACGAATGGAGAACGCCTTTGGGATATCCAGTGGATCCCGACGTGCAGATCATCACACCGGGTTGTTCAATATCTTCGATTATCGTGCATTTGAAATTTATCACGTCCTCAGGGTCCTGTTCCTTTAGAACTTGATGGAGACTTGTCCGACCTGGTGAGTCACCGAAAACCACGACTTTTGTGCTCGTTCCAAGATTGTCAATTACTCGCTGAGTGATTCCTGATACTTTCTCGTTTACAAACATCACCTTTGGCTCTCCTAACTCCAGGAAATATTTCACCATATCTGGGCAACCGAAAATTACTCGAAATTTTGATAATTGGTAATTTTATACGAAAATCATTGGAAAATTAATTGGTAACGTAAAAAATAGGGAAACGTATTAAGGACATAATTCAAAATAAGGAACTGACGGCGAGAACAACATCTCGATCGAATTCAAAGTCATCAACTTTGCTCTGAACTCACTTCCGGAAGAGAAGTGAGTTCTTAATGTTGACCCCAACCCAGTGATCTACTGATTTAGGAAGTCAATATCAATAGTCACAAACAAAAACTCATTTCCCATAACGAACAGCTCGTCCATCGAATAGATAATTAATTTTATAATTCTATAATATCTTCTGGCGAAATTTGCTAAAGAATTTTCCGGCGTCCGACTGAGAATAACTGAGAATAACGAGTCAATGGTTAGGGATAAAATTTTAGAGGATTATTTTGTGGATTATTACTGCACCGTCGTCTAGGTTGACATCCCACCAAGGATGAAAAATAACTCCAGTGAGTATCGCTGCGAGAACAGGAACGAAAGTGTCCAGGTGATTGTGTGTGGAAATTCCTATGAAGTCCCCAGGTTTGACACCTGATTTTCGAAGGAATAGGGCACATCGCACTGCCCGATCTGTCATGGACCCATAGGTGTCCTCTTCACCCGTTAATCCATCAATCTAAACCTCAATTTTTTTTCTCCATGAAATAATTAAATCATAAGTATTTTATTGAATTTTTGAATTATCGAAAGATTTTTACGTACCTGACCCACATGTTTTGGGACTCTCTTCATCCCTTCCAAAAGGGTTTGCCCGAAAGTCCTCCAGGTATCACTCGGAGGTTCGAAAAAACGAGTCCAGACTCCATTCTCGCAAGTCATATGTATCTACAATAATTTCCGAATTAATTATCCGGTGAAGAAATTCAAACCATTTGATAATTCTTACTTTGGTTTTATCCTTATTTTCTGACATGTTTTCAACGCCAGACCGCAATACTTTTTTGCTCGTTGAATATCAGGACGCATACACTACAGATAATTATATGAAACCTGATGACAATGATGTATCAGTATTAAATGAATAATCTTATCTGTTCACTATGATATTGAACTACCTGGTGACAGGAGAAAGAGAAAGCGCAATTTTTCTATCGTTATCATGTGCTCAGGGGAAGATAATGCGAAGTTTATCTTGATGTACAACAATTAAAAAGATTTTGTAACATCAAGAGAACAAATGGAGTGAATGAACTCTTCTGGCGGATAATTCAAAAATACTTTTTCGAGAAATGTCTCTGACTCTGGGAGACAATTTTTTTGCTCAATCTTCCGGTGCCCTTTTTGACGTACACTAATCAATTACGAAATATTAACAATTAATTTTATACAAACCTAAGGATTATAGGACGTTCTTGCCGAATCACTGTTTTAAATATTCGAGAATGAAGGAAAGGTATTCCTCAAAAATTACACGAAAATAGGAAACAGACTCATTACCTTGGGAGATGAATAAAAATGCGTTTTCTTCGGAAATGAATGTGCAACTAAGAAGATAATTATTTCTCGGATGTTTATAACGTCTACTGTAGGAGAGGCGATAAGTTTATCAACGGCAGATGCACTCTAGACACATGTTGCAGTTTATTCACGTCAGGGCATTTATTTCTCGTGATACTGTCTGCTAAACAGAAACTCGGCTTTAACTCGAGCGGGATGTCTTCAAGGATTTTTTCGTTATTAGTACATTCGAGAGGACTTTGCTTTATTGAGGCCTTCAATCCCAGAATTACACGAGACGTATTATTATTTTTTTTTCAGGATTTAATACGCTGTTTGGAAAACATTAAAATTTCATGGACAATTGACTATTAATATTCCGGTGATTAAAATATGATTGCAGTTTGAAATAGAATTTCAAATTTCACTGAATTATAATTCAGCAAAGGCCTTCGCCATTTCTCGCAGACATTTCCTTGAAATTTTTCCTGAGTGAACACGAGGCATTTTCTCCAGGATCTTCACACCTCCGCGAAGTTTCATGTGATCCGGCAAGTGATCCTCAACGAATTTAATAATCGCCGTTTCAGTTACCTGAGAAAAAATTTCATAGTTGGTTTTTTTTGTGTTCCAAAATCAATTATTGTGAGCGAAGGATAGAGTTTCAATTTCGTTACGTTGTAACCAGCATTTATCGTGACAAAAGCCATGGGTTGTTCCACATCCAGTGCATCTGGTTTGGCTACGACTGCTGCATCGCTGACACCTGGATATTTCAGGATGACGTTCTCGACCACCGAAGGCACCACAGGCAGGATGATCTTGTATTTGATGACGTCTCCGAGTCGATCGATGATGAAGAAGTCACCGTCTGCATCGTAATATCCAAAATCCCCCGAGCAATACCATCCTGTCGCGAAAATTTTAATTTTTTTAATTTTCCATGTGCGCTACACATAATCATTCCCAAATTACCATCAGAGTCTACAACTTTTTGGGTACTTTCCGGATCTTTATGGTAGTGGAACATTACGTTAGGAGCCCTGACCCGAATTTCCCCTCGTTCATTTTTTCCACACGTTCTTCCAGTCTCTGGGTCAACCACTTTAATCTGGAAATTCTTCTGAACCCTTCCACTGCTGCCGAACTTCTTCGACGATTCTCTTCGTCGCAGGCATATTCCTACTTCAGTGGCACCTGCAACAATTGCTTCTATCCTTTACTCTCATTGCAATATATTCAATCCATAATTTAGTAGCGATGCGGTGAAAAATAACAGATAACATATTCCACGGAAAAATCAAATGAGTGACTCGAGTTATCTCTTCACTTGTTCGCTGCTGAATTAAATGATATATTTCTCTGGTAATTGCAATTGCTTCAGAGCCTACCGTACGCCAAGACCAGGCAAGCATTTGGAAATAATGTCCTCAGAGAACTATCGAGATTTTCAGTAACAGTTGATCCACCATAGATAACGTATTTAACCGACGATAAATCATGACTTCGCTCTTCTCTCCTAAACAATTCGCTAGCGATTGCTGTTGTCATTACCATACACTTTATCTGAAAGGTATTAAAAAATTAAGTGAATAAAAAGGAATTTTATTGTCACCTTACTTTGTATTTCTCAGTGATTGCACAAGCCGCGTTCACTGTGCCTGATTTATTAAGGATGACTGTAGCAGAATGACGGATCGCCCCGAGATTCCCTGCAACAGCTGCAGTCCAACTGATTTTAGAGAACCAGAGAATAGTATTGTCACTGGTACTCTCCTCTGGAAATATGTCCAAGCATTTTTCCAACCAGTTGTACGATTGCACGACGCACTTGGGGTACCCAGTGCTCCCCGAAGTGCACATAAAAATTCCCGGTTGATTGGCGTCCTCAATATCCGTGCAATCAAAACGTTCGACCTCTTCCAACTCCTGTTCCTTCAGAATTGCCTGCAGGGAATTTCCTCTAGGTGCATCCTGAAAGGTCACTATCTTGGTTTCCATTCCAAGATCGTCGATGACTTTTTCAACTACCTCAGATATTTCTTCATCAATAAATACGACTTTCGGTTCCCCTAGCTTTAAGAAGTGTCTCACCGTGTCTAAGAAATCCATAATTATTTTATATAATTAATGCGTATCATATGAGATTCAGAATATGGACCCCTGGAGCCCCATATAATTTTTTTATTCTATTAATCGAGAAAATTGTTACGCTTTTCCACGCAATTTTTCCCGAATGCTGAATCGTTAACGGGAAGTTTACCCTGATCTAAGTTCATGTCCCACCAAGGATGGAAGATAATTCCAGTGAATATCGCTGCGAGAACAGGAACGACAGTGTTAAGATGATTATCTGTGCAGATTGCAATGCAATCTCTGGACTTCAGGTTTTGTTTGTTAAACCACAGGGCACATCGCACTGCTCGATCGGACATTGACGCATAGGTGTCTTCCTCACCAGTGTCTCCATCGATCTAGATTCACTCCCATAAATAATTACACTATCGATTTCAATTATTTCTGATGCTGCTGATACCTGTCCCACATGCTCCGGACGATTCCTCATGCAACTCAGAAGAATTCTTCCTAATGTTCTCCTGGAATCCCCTGGGGGGTCAATACATCCTGTCCAGACCCCACTATCATATTTAAAATCATCCTAAAAAAATTATCAGTGAGAAATTTCTAAAGTCCACGTCCAGCGTGAAAAAACTCTTGGTTTCCTCAATTTTTCATACTTGCACTTTTTTTTCAGACATTTTACGTCAAGTGAATTGTTCCGAATGCATACTTTTCCGTTCCTTCGGGCTTATCGCTCGTAATGTGCGATTAAAAAAATTGCTATAGCATTCGATAATTGGACTTATCGAAAATGAATCGTTCATAGCAAAACACGAAGGTAGAGTTATTATTTTTATGTTAATATTAAAAATGTCTTCTTTTTGGAGCATATCTGTAACAAGAGTTACTTCTTTCCTCGTTGGTGATGATTTATATATATCACGAATGAGTATTAACATTTTAATTTCAGAATTTCGAAGGCAGCGAATCTGATTTGAAATTCCATATCAGTTCCCTGCACTATCGACTCGTTTTTTAACCTAAATAACTGCTCCGAATTGTAACGTAAACACAACCGGCGCTTCCACGTCGGTTCGTAAAAAATTGTAACAATGGCACCACGTGCTCATAAACTGGAATCACTGAAGAAGAAAAACGATAATTTGCCTGAGAGAAAGTCTCAGTGGTCGAGGGATAAATTGTTGCTCCAAATATTTGCTCTTGTTTCATTCGTCAAGGTGTTATTAGTGCCCACGTAGTACGTGAGTTTTGGCCATTATATTCCTGCAATACAAATATATTTTTTTACGATTTCCCATGCTATAATTTCTCATTCCAGTCATTCGACGGATTTCGAAGTCCACAGAAATTGGCTGGCAATAACCCATAGCCTGCCAATCAACCAGTGGTACACGAATTCAAAATCAGAATGGACCCTGGATTATCCTCCTCTTTTCGCCTGGTTCGAATGGTTGTTGAGCCAATTCGGGAAATTGGTGGATCCTGAGATGCTGAAGGTCGACAACTTGAATTATGCATCCCGAGGGACTATCTTGTTCCAAAGGGCAACTGTGATGTTCTCGGATTTGGCTCTGGTGTACGGAGTCCGAGAGTAAGTTGCAAGAACCGGTTCAGAATGCAGAGGATTTTAACATCAACCTTTAAATTTCAGAGTTGGAAAGGTTTATTCCACTTCTTTCAATAATTTCGCTGTATTCTCTTTCTTGACTCTCTGCAATATCGGATTATTAATGGTGGATCATATTCATTTTCAATACAACGGATTTCTCCTCGGTATTCTACTGATTGCAATCGCTGAAGTGTCGAAACCCGATCAGGTACCACTGATATTAATTGCATAAATGAATCGATGCTTTTTTCATCAACAAAATTTTATCGGTGCCATATTTTCCGCCTTTCAGAGAAATATTATAATAGGTGCAGGTGCCTTTGCAGTGTTATTAAACTTGAAGCATCTTTATCTCTACGTTGCACCTGCGTTTATCGTTTGGTTATTGAAATGGTACTGTTTGAGGTCTGGGAATTTTTTCCTCAGATTGATTCACCTCGGAGGAATAGTCTTTGTTGTTCTGGCTGTATCCTTCGGGCCATTCGTGACTCAATTTCCGCAGGTGGGCAAAATCCCAACATCCTAATTAAATATTTATTGCGAATGCAACTATTTCCTTTGCGACAGGTTCTAGCAAGACTATTTCCCTTCAAACGAGGCTTAACTCATGCCTATTGGGCCCCCAACGCCTGGGCCCTCTATATTGGCGGTGATAAGGTGCTATCAGCGCTCTGGAAACGACTCGGCTGGTTGTCAATGACTAAAACTGCGACGATGACTGGTGGACTCGTCCAGGAGGACAAACTCAGTGTTTTACCCACTCCCACACCACTCGTAACTTTCATCGCAACAGTTTTGGCGATTTTAGTGAGTAAATGCTATGAAACATGTACACAAAAATTGAATAGTAATATCTAACATTTTCTCGTAAAAATTCTAGTCGTTTTTGGATTGATTTTGTTGGATATATCGTTGGAAAAAAAATTTTAACCAGAATTCTCTAGATTTTCTGTAGAAGTCTAATGGAAAAAAAAATAAAATAACAAAAATAATAAAATAGAGCAATTAAAAATCGCAAAATTATTCCATTTGTTCGCAGCCAGCTCTCATTAGTCTCTTCAGAAAGAAACAGTACTCGTTGAAGCCAAGCGATTTTCTCAGCTGTTTAGTGCTGTGTGGCCTCGGCTCATTTATCTTCGGGTGGCACGTCCACGAAAAAGCTATTTTAACTGCTATCATTCCACTGTGGTCAGTAGAAATAACAATGAAACAATGAAAAACGTGGAGGAATTCTTGTATAAGTCGACTCATTCTCCTTTCGAGTTTTTGAGAGATATCTCCGAATAGACGAGAGATAAAAATTTCTGTGGACTCCTCTTTCCCAGCTCTCGTTTTATTCTAGAAAATCGATCCTTAGAAAAATTTTGCTCTTTAGATTCGAAGATGTCTCACCTGTTGTAAAAATTGACTTATTCCCCTTTATTTTTTTCGTTACTCATTTATTTGTTCTGTTTCAGTGCTCTAGCCACAGCCGACATTTTAAATGCCCGAGTATTCATGATCCTCAGTGCCACAGGTCATACCTCAATTCTCCCTCTCCTCTTCCCTCAGAACCTCACGATTCTTAAAATCACAATGCTGTTGACCTACACCGCGGCGTCCTGCGTCTGTCTCCCAAAATTGCACAAGCACTCGTTATTGCAACTGCACGAGTGGCTGTATATTGCAGCTCTACCTTTGGTCACTCTCTACGAAACTCTTATCCATAAAATGGTTTTTGGCGAGGGACTACCGTTTTTGCCCCTGGCGATGACTTCCATTTATTGTGGAATTGGGGTCATGTACTCGTGGTTACTGTATTACCACAACTATTTGAGTGACCAGATCAAAGAAACCACAACCATGGCGAAGAAAAAACGGTGATTTCCTCAGGATGAATTTTTGTACATACTAAAGATCGCTGTAACAATTTTCATTAAAAAGTTGGTTTATTATTTTACTTGTTTATTTCAATTCAGGGAATAATTTTAAAATTAAACGATTTTTTTTACAGCCAATAAAATTCTGGACAGAAACGGTCCTCAATATTTTTTCATGAAATTAATTTCATCCAACACGCGAAAAACGAAAATATGGATTTCTCGCTTTTCCAAGGGTCCCTCTCTTTACTTTTCTCCCATTCTAAATCAATAAAATAATCACCAGGTTTGAAAATCGCGCAGCGCTCAAAGTAGTACCGATCAGGACCTTCAGGCGGCGCCTGAAAAATCATGAATCAGTAGTCTGAAAAAGTCGCTCTCTCATTTTGTAGAAATCAGTAAATAAGTAGGGAAAGCAAGTTTCTCATTAAAACATGAATAATTAAGCAATCCATCGAAATTCGCGAAACGGGAACAGAACCCGTGAAATTCAATCACTTTAAGGTAAGTCCTTTCAGGATATTCTCAGCCCCTTCAAGATCCCTCAAACTCTAACCTCCGCCCTGTCAAAACGATTAATTCCTTTCGGGTTCGAAAAGGTCATCAACAATTTATTATTGAACAATCCTTATTATAATAAATTACAATTCTTTATGCGTTCAATCAATTTCTTTTCTCCATCTCCTTTAATCGAATCGATTTCCTTTGGCTTTCGGCTCTCTTTAGTGTTATTTTTCAATAATTTTTCACCAGCAATTGGTGATTATCAATTCCTGAAATTACAGGAGCCCATGATCTTGCAAAAATGTCCGTTCAACGCGCATTTGCTCACAAGTTGAGCAAGCAGCACGCAGCAGACGTGCGTCGACAGATTGCAAGTTCTACCTCGTATTCGCGAGACCTGTCTAAGAGTGGAAGCAGTGTGTCCGGGTTTTCCTCGACGATGTCCCTCTGCGAGGTGCTCGAGCCATTGGACTACGAGGATTTTTTAACACAGCACCAGACGATCCTTGATCGAGACCCGTTGCGTCCAATACTGGATTTTCCTCCTGGGGACGTCGAGCTCCGAATGATAACACGAAAAATCAGAACAGAAGAACCAGTGATTCCCTTCGAATCCTTGGACACAGTATCCCCGTACATTCACCGATGCATCGACACATTCACCTCAGACTGGCTAGTTATCCATCGTAAATACAAGGGCCGAATTTCCCCTATAGCCAGAGAACGCCTGCTTCAGGACACACCCCGCCAGGACTTCGAGGTTGACCAGGAGGACACAGGATCTGGCTCCCCAGAGGAAGAGGATCTTTCCTGTGCAGAGACCCCTCGAGGTTCCTGGGCGAGTCTGGACCTGCGCCACTCCCAGCACGATCCGCTCCTCCCTGGGATCCTCGATCGAGTCTGTCCCGAGACCGTAGACCAGGTAAACGAGCAGAAACGTTGTGAGGATCGCCAGGAGGCAGTATTCCCCCTGTACGCCCTTCCAACGTCCCCAGACGATGAGTGGCAGGAAATAGCATCAGCTGTCGAGCCCTCGGAGCCATTCTCCCACCGAATCCTCGTCAAGTGTCTTCAGCTGAAGCTCGAACTCGAGGTCGAGCCTATCTTTGCCTGTCTCGCTCTTTACGACTCCAGGGAGAGGAAGAAGGTATCTGAAAATTTCTATGTCGACATGAACTCCGACAGCTTGAAACGCATGCTGGGAGGACACATAGCTTACAGCGACGCCAGCACCCTGGCAAGAAGTTGCGTCCTGAGTATCAGCAAACCGAGTCCCGATTTATTTTTAGTTGTGAGGCTGGAGAAAGTCCTGCAAGGAGATATCTCAGAGTGCGCTGAGCCTTACCTGCGAGAGGATAAGAACAAGGATAAAGTGAAGGCAGCAGCTCTGGCTGCCTGCGAACGCCTGGGGAGGTACAGGATGCCCCTTGCCTGGACTGCAATTCACCTGTCTGGAGTGATCGGAGGAGGAGGAGATACCGATAGTACCGGAAGTGCTGGATCTCTCGACAGGAAGTCAGGGGGGCTGGAGCAGTGGAGGAAAAAAATGGATCCACCAACAAGAAGAGGCTCCCTGGAGAGAAGAAGCTCTGACAAACGACGCAGCTGGTCTCCAGACGACTTTGCAAACTGCCTCGATAGCTTTCGACCGATTACTCTCACTGTCTCTAGTTTTTTCAAGCAAGAGAGCGAAAGACTGCGGGACGAGGACCTCTATAAACTCCTGTTGGAGTTACGTAGACCTGGATCCAATTTAAAACGTCTCAAGTGTCTTCCAGGGATATTGAAGCTCGATCTCAGTCCCCGGCCCGATGATCTGCCTCGATGTCTCGATCCAGACCTGAGGAGACTCTCACCTTATCCCGATGAAAAAAATAGACCCATCAAGGAGATTTTGGAGTTTCCAGCAGAGATCGTCGGTCCAGATCTCATGTACAGGAATCTTCTTTATGTTTATCCGAAGGAAGTGAACTTTAACTCTCGAACGGGATCCGCCAGGAACATCGCTGTGAGAATTCAGTTGATGGGAGGAGAGCAGGAGTCTGACGCCCTCACAGCCATTTTCGGGAGGTCCTCATGTCCGGAGATGACTCATGAGGCCTTTACCTCAGTCTCGTACCACAATAAAAATCCCAGTTTCTACGACGAGGTGAAGATCAGGCTTCCAGCGGACTTGAGTGCCAGACACCACTTGCTATTCACTTTCTACCACATCTCGTGTCAGAAGAAGGCAGAGCAGCCGAATGTGGAAACACCAGTGGCATACACCTGGCTACCACTCCTCAGGGATGGACACCTACAGTCTGGGGAATTCAGTCTTCCAGCGATGCTCGATCCACCCCCTTCCAATTATTCATATATTGCCCCGGATGTTCAGTTACCTGGCACCAGGTGGGTGGATGCCCACCGAGGGGTCTTCAGTATTATCCTCGAGCCGATTTCCAGTGTCCATCCGCAGGACAAATATATCGACAGGTTTTTGTCGTTGTGTGGGAGTCTGGAGACTGGACAAGTGCCACCACGAATTGGAGAGGCTGGAATGGAGTCTGAGCTTAAATCAGCTCTTCTGGAGTTATCCAGAGCTGCCAGCACTGCTCTTGTTCGTTGCTTTCCCCAGATATTTGATCAATTGATATCACTGCTAGTGCATCCACCCACTCTTCCCTCTCAACCGCTTAATGTCGCTGCCACTGTCTTCGAGGCTATTGGCCTGCTCGTAAAAAGTATCACGAGTATGCCTGATGGACAGGTCGATGCACACGGTCGACACGCTCTTCTGGCTACATACACAGCTTTCCAGTGTTCTATCCCCAGGATGTCGCATGGACCTGCTGTTATTCGAGCCCAGAGTAATCCAGATTTGCCAGTCGAGGATCTAGAAATGGAAATTCATGCTCGTGGTCTGGATAGAACTGCTTCTATGAGACAGGAGTCTCCTTCGATCAATAGTCACATTGCCAGGAGACTTCTACACGAGGAGTTGGCCCTCCACTGGGTGGTGTCGACAGGCCAGGCAAGGGAACTAGCTGTAATTCACTCGTGGTTCTTCCTGGAGCTTATTGTCAGGTCCATGGTGATTCATCTGGCTGAGGTTGGAGGCCTCGAGGCTCCTCGAAAGAACAGATATTCCCCTCAATTTTCGGACGATGTTGCGACCCTCACAGCAGCTCTCACTACAGAATTGATACATCGTTGTGGCAAGGATCCTCGGGTCTCCTCTAATCTCATCTCTAGCATCGGAAATTTCCTCTCCGATCTCCTTTCCACGATGGACCGAGGGTTTATTCTGTCGCTGATAAGAGCCACCTGCTGCTCCCTGACAGACGCTTCGATGCACGTGCCGGACTCAGCGGCTTTATTCTCCCTTAAACTCGACCTTGTGCGCACAGTGTGTTCCCACGAGCACTACGTCGCCTTGAACCTTCCCTTTGGCACTGGCTATACATCGGGCTCGGCTCCAGCCTCCCCCAGCCCCTCCACGGGCAGCTCAGGGAGTCTCATATCGACACTAGTGCCAGGGGAACGAGCGAGATTTTCGGAGTTGAGTCAGGAATTTCGTCAGCAACACTTCCTGGTGGGTCTCATTCTCTCCGATCTGGCGAACACCCTGGAGGTGCCCAATCCCATGCTCCAGAATAAGGCCATTGGCTCTGTAAGACACCTGATGAATCTCCACGATGGGGACCCCAGGTACTCCGATCCTGCAGCCAAAGCCAGAGTGGCTGCCCTCTATCTTCCTCTGTTGAATATTCTCATGGACGCTCTGCCCCAGCTCTACCACTGGGACTCCAAAGACAAGAGTGTTTATACCGATGAATCGGGGTCAATAACTCAGTCTGTCGCCCTCGCAATTGCTGGAGGTGGATCGGCTGATGTTGGAGCTCAGTGTCGAGTATCTCTGAGCTCAGAGGCCACCAGACACCTCCTCATGTGCTTCCTCTGGGTGCTCAAGGGTTTGGAAAAATCAGCACTGGCTCAGTGGTGTTCAGAGCTGAGTGCCAGACGAGTTCTCAGCTTTCTTCAGGTATTGAGTATTGCGACAGCTGCGTTTGAGTACAAAGGAAAGAAAGCACTGAAGAGACTTCCTCAGCAGGCAACAGCCACCAGTGACATCAGGTCGAGGCTCGAGGATGTGATCCTCGGACAGGGAAGTGCGAGAAGTGAGATGATGCTGAGGAGGAAGGAAAGAATTACAGGGGATAAATTACGATGGCGGAAGGATCAGATGCCTTATAGAACAAATGAGCAGCCTGAGGGACGAGCCGTGGAGCAAGACGCTCATATCGAGGGAGCTCTTGCCGCTGAGGCCTCTCTCGTCGTTCTCGACAGCCTTGAGTCAGTGGTCCAAGCTGATTGCGGTGGAGGAGCTGTTGTTGGGGCAGTTTTGAAGGTCCTTCTTCGTGCCCTAGCGAGAAATCAAAGCACTTCTGTTCTCCAGCACATGTTCAATACTCAACGGGCCCTTGTCTTCAAGTATCACAGTGCCCTCTTCGACGAGGAGAGCGAACGCTGTGGGGATCTCTGTCTCACTCTCTTGACTCGATGCAGTTCACCCCTCAGTGCCATCAGGAGTCATGCTGCTGCCAGTCTCTATCTCCTCATGAGACAGAACTTCGAGATTGGAAATAATTTTGCTAGAGTTAAAATGCAGGTAACCACTTCTCTGTCTGCACTAGTTGGGAGGGGGCGAGCCCCCAGTGAGGGGGCACTTCGCCGAGCCCTGAAGACAGTGCTGGTTTATGCTGAGAGGGATACCGAGCTTGCTGACACCAGCTTCCCAGAGCAGGTGAAGGATCTGCTGTTTAATCTGCACATGATTCTCTCGGATACTGTTAAGATGAAGGAGTTCCAGGAGGACCCTGAGATGCTTCTGGATCTGATGTATAGAATTGCTAAGGGATATCAGGGCTCTCCAGACCTGAGGCTCACGTGGCTGGCGAATATGGCCCAACAGCACATGGAAAGGAAAAATCATACGGAGGCTGCCATGTGTCTGGTACACTCAGCAGCTCTTGTAGCTGAGTATCTTCATCTGCTGGAGCCTGGGGGTGGAGGTAGACCTGTGGGGGCAGTTGCTCTGGCTCCAGTCACACCGAATGCCCTAGAGGAAAGCGCCGTTGGTGATGATGTTCTCGCCAGGAGAGAGGAGGGACTCTGTTTGGGGCCTGACTTCTCGGAGAGTGGGCTTGCTGGACTCCTGGAACATGCAGCATCCTCTTTTCATGCTGCTGGTATGTACGAAGCCATTCCAGATGTTTACAGGGTACTCCTACCTATTGCTGAGTCTGCCCATGATTATAAGAAACTGGCGAATATTCACGGGAAATTGCATGAGGCATACACTAGGGTCGATCAGCTCTCTGGGAAGAGGGTCTTTGGGACTTACTTTAGGGTAGGATTCTATGGGGCACGCTTCGGGGATCTCGCTGGCGAGGAGTTTGTGTACAAGGAGCCCACCCTCACGAAACTTCCTGAGATCTTCTCCAGGCTGGAGAACTTTTATGCTGAGAGATTTGGTGTGGAAAATATCGTGATTATCAAAGATTCCAATCCAGTGGATATTAGCAAGCTGGAGACGGATAAGGCATACGTACAGATCACGTATGTTGAGCCGTACTTTGAGCCACATGAATTGAGGCATCGACCTGCTGTTTTCCACAGGAATTTCAATATCAAGAGATTCGTTTATGCTACACCCTTCACTCCTGGGGGAAAGGCTCATGGTGAGCTGAGAGAACAGTGCAAGAGAAAAACTATTCTGACTGTTGCCACTCATTTCCCTTATCTGAAGACGAGGATCAGGGTGGTGGCGAGGAAACAAATTGTACTTAGTCCTATTGAGGTGGCCATTGAGGATATTCAGAAGAAGACTGCGGAAGTAGCTGCTGCTACTGTCCAGGAACCGCCTGATCCTAAAATCCTGCAGATGGTGCTTCAAGGGTGCATTGGGACCACTGTTAATCAGGGCCCCGCTGAGGTCGCCGTGGTTTTCTTATCTGGGCTCAGAGAACAGAATGCACAGCCCTCCAAGCTTCAGCATAAATTGAGGCTGTGCTTCAAGGACTTTCAGAAGAGGTGTTTGGATGCCCTCAGGAGAAATAAGAATCTCATTGGGCCGGATCAAAGGGATTATCAGAGAGAACTGGAGAGAAATTATCAGAGGCTCACTGAGAGACTCGCACCTCTCATTGCCTGGAGGTAAGTGGGACATTTTTGTTTCTAACTTTAAAAATATGATTGTTCAGATTTAAATTTTTCACCGCGTTGACAATTTTTTTGTGATTGTATGAAAATTTGAAAATTTTTACACTCGATGTTTTTCGAGGAAAATAATTTCTTTCTTGAATCAATTTTTTTCCAATTTCCAATTTCGGATGTATTCATCTCATGAATTATATTAATTAATTCTTCATCATTAATTCTTTATTTTTGTAGTGGACCTCCTTCCATGATGACAGCTGCATCCCAAGCTACAGCATCTCCACGCTGGTAATCCACTTCCACAGCCATATTCGGAAAATTACCAAAGAATTTTGCTATACCCGAGATTATTAAATAACTTCATATAAAGAAAACATATTATGAAAAACTATTGGAAAATAGCCCTTTCGTAGGATCACCATTTTACTAGTTAATGCAATTAATTGATCAACCAAATTATAAGAATAGCACGAAACATTTATTGATCGAACACTACGATACCAATTTTTTCTAAGCACATTTGCGGAGTTAATTGACAATTGCAACTATAAAGAGACGCCCTGGCTATTGCTGCGCACAAATATGACAAACTATAAATCTTTTTATGAGTGTAACTTATTTATTATTGATTTAATTAAGCTTCTAGAGTTACTCGAATTTTTATACAGCTCGTAGCTACATCAATAAATTGATGAGGATTTTATAAACGTCAGTCTGTTCAATTTTTACAGTTTACGATATAATAAGAAATCGAATCTATCATTTTGCTCACTGACCGATTTATCGCCAAAAAGATTATTTATGGTGGAAGCTTCACAAAATTTTTTCGTTGCTGATAAAATTACCAACAAAATGGGTGTTTCGATGATTCCACTAAAAATAACTGGTTTGAAATGCATTGGCATTTAACAAAAATAAAATTCGACTTGTCTCCTTCCTTTCGCTCCTACAATGATAAAATATTCTGATGAGGTAAAAAGATCCGGAAATCCGAGGCGAATAATAAAAAATCTTTCCAAGGGTTTCATCCTACGATATTAGTGATTGTCTGTTGTGAAAAGAGCTCCATTTGCACAGCATTTAGAAACATGGGGACACTGTGTTGCATAATAAGATGTCTATCGATTAATGGCCCTAAAGTCGACGAGAACTCGGTCTCCAGTAGATCGACACCCTCGTCCACATGGAAAAACAGGAAATCATCAGGAGACTCTGCATACTGACTCGATAATTTGTACCTTCGCTCCTTGGTTCTATCGACTCTCCACCCAAAAAGTTGATAGCAGGCTTGCCTGTACTCCTGGGAGGATGCCTTAAAAGCCTCCTTCAGCCTAGCAATCTTAATCTCATGAGATTGCTTCAGCTCAGCAAGCTCCTGTGCTTGAAATGACGACGAAGTAGTAAGAGGCGCTCCCCCCTGCGCAGTGAAACCATGTTGCACCCTAGCTCGGAGTTCCTCGACCTCCTGAAGCAATGCCTTCTGCTTCTCTTCAGCTTGTTGTTCGGCAATGGCAGCTGGATTCATCTTAAAATGTAGAATTCTGGAATTGACATTGAAATCGCCTTTGAGAGCTCGATGCTCCAGCTCCCCCTTGAGCCTTTCCACTTCCTCCCGGAGTTGTCTGCACTCGTCCTTAGCCCGAAGTGTCGCGGGATCCGAAACAGTGGCCAAATCAGCCTCGAGCTTCTCCACGAGGTCCCTGTAACCCTCTACGGCTCTCTCGAGTGCTGGAATTCTCTCAGTAACAGCATTATTGCCCTCCAGCGTCGTCATTTCCTTCTCGTAGAGATCCAACTGTTGTCGATAACTATCCCTCTCCCTAGAGACGAGCAGCATCTTCTTCTGCAACCTGATGATAAATTTATTGAGCTTCTCAGTGGAGTTGGTCATATCAGTCGCCATCTTCTTGGTCTCATCGTACTTCCTCTGGAGTCCGTCGTTCTCCCTCTGCAAAGCATCGACCTGGGACCTCAATTTCCCTTCTTCAAGCATCAGAATAACCTCAGCCTGCTGGAGACGATGGACCTCCTTCTTCAAGTCTGTTGGATTTCTCCCAATACCAATCGTCTCGTACTCCTGCACTCTGGAGGTCAGTTCTTCACACTTCACCTCCATCTTCCCCAGTTTTGCCTCAACCCTCTCTGTGTGTTCCAGTCTCTTCTCCATATTACAAATCTGCTCTTCCAGAAGTAACTTGCCCTTGACAGCCTCCCTGAGGTTGTTTATCTGCTCCCTGGCGAGCTGCAGCTCCTTCTCGAGCTCATTGGCACGGGCGGCCCTGGCCAGAAGGCTCCTCCCCTCCTCCCAGAGGGCACGTTCAGCTTCCAAGGTCTCTACCTTCATCCTGACGTTCTGCAACTCGAGATTCTGTAGCTCCAGCTCCTGCTGAGTAGACACGAGCTCTTTAACCCTGCCCTCCAGCTCGAGAATTCGATCGTCAGCAGCCTCGAGCTTGGCCTGAATCTCGCTGTTGTCCTCTTGGGGCTTCGGAGATGATGAGAACTCCTCCGAGTTCGAGTAAATCACGTTAATTTCCTTCAGCCTAGCATTCTCTGTCATCAATGCAAGAATCTTCGCCTCGAGTTTGGATTTAGTCTGGAAGAGCTCGGATTCTGCAGATGCCTGGGCCTCCCGTGCATCGTGAGTGCTCTTCCTCGAGGATTCCACACGCAACTCCAGTTGCTTTATCGTCTGCTTGTCCAGCTCTGCCTGCATCTCTAGCATGTGCTTGTCTCTCTCAAAGACCTCCTCGATCTCACGTCGTATTTTGTGGAGTTGGTTGACCGTTGCTTCGGTGTGAGACAGCCTTGTCCGAAGGGCCACGAGTTCTCCCTTGAGGCGACGCCATTCCCAAGGGGTTCCTGGGGTCGAATCCGAGGTTGATGAGAGATTGAAGGTCGAGGAATGCGTTGAGTCCAGGCGACGTCGTTTCAGGGGTGATGAATTGTTCTCTGGAGATTTACTCTCTCTCGGGTTCGATGACTTGTCCTCTGGTGCAGGCCCTAAGTTACTCATCGATAATCCAGCATTCGAGAGACGCAGGGACACTCCACTGTTCCTTCTACAGGTCTCAGACTTCAGGGCCTGCAACATCTTGATCACTGTCGTAGCGTCGTCGTCCATCTGAAAGATTTTTACATTCGATTTCTGGGAGAAAAGCAAACGTTTATAGAAGTGGGTACCACAAGGTAAGTAAATTCAACCAGTGGGCTAACCTCCACCATGAACTTCACCCAAACTTCCTCATCTCCAGAATAACTTGGGATTCGAGAACTTACCGTGGAATTATTGCTCTCAACTCATAAAAATTGATTCCAAACAAATTCGACACTAGTACAGCTGATTTCCTCTTGAGCGAGTAAAAGTGAATAAAACTGAATAAAACCGGTGAGATGTGAGGGCTTGATTAAAAAAAGATAGACTCAAGAAAAAAGATTCACTTCTCAGTTTTGAAGGAAGCAGCAAATACGAGACAGGATTATTTGGCCTATGATTTAGCAGCTGGGATGGAGCCAAAGAGGAGTGACTAAAGTAGAGGCTCAGTTTAAGGTATGATACAAGCAGGGGAGGAATTCTGCGCGTTTTATGTTAACATAAACTCTCATTATTTCGCTTCCGCCAGGTGGAGCGCAGGCTTTATTTATGTCGTATTTCCAATTGGTTTTGGAACGTTTGTTTGGCG